TTCAGATCCTCCATTTTTTTACTGGAACTTTTTGTTTGTTTCTGTTGAATTGTATGAGTTCTTTATATGTTTTGGCTGTTAATCCCTTATCAGATATATGATTTGCAAATATTTTCTCCCATTCTGTAGTTTCCCTTTTCTTTTCTTTTTTTTTTTTAAATTAAAAGATTTTATTTATTTATTTGACAGATGGAGATCACAAGTAGGCAGAGAGGCAGGCAGAGAGAGAGGGAAGCAGGTTCCCTGCTGAGCAGAGAGCCCGATGCAGGGCTTGATCCCAGGACCCTGGGATCATGACCTGAGCCGAAGGCAGAGGCTTAACCTACTGAGCCTCCCAGGTGCCTCTGTAGTTTCCCTTTTCATTTTGTTGATTTTCTTTTGCTATACAAAAGCCTTTTAGTTTGTTGTAGTCCCACTTACTTATTTTTGCTTTTATTGCCTTTGCTTTTAGCCTCAAATCCAGAAAATCATTGCCAAGACCAAAGTTGAGGTGCTTGCGGCCTTTGTTTTCCTCTAAGAGTTTTACATTTTCAACTTCTATGTCCAAGCCCAGTCTGAGTTGATTTTTGTATATGTGTGGGTTAATTTCTGGGTTTTAGTTTGTTTAGGCCAATACCATACTGATTTGATTACTATAGCTTTGTAGTATAGTTCGTTCTACTTTGTCAAGGTTGTTTTGGCTTCCGGGGGTCTTTTGTGGTCTAGATTGAATTCTTTTTTTTTTTTTTTTAAGATTTTTATTTATTTATTTGACAGAGAGAGATCACAAGTAGGCAGAGAGGCAGGCAGAGAGAGAGGGAGGGAAGCAGGCTCCCTGTTGAGCAGAGAGCCTGACGTGGGGCTTGATCCCAGGACCCCGGGATCATGACCTGAGCCGAAGGCAGAGGCTTAACTCACTGAGCCACCCAGGCGTCCTAGATAGATTTCTTAAACTCAGTCATTAGTGTCTGTGCTTTCCACTCAAAGCAAGGCCCTCACTCACTCATGCCCTATTGGTCATTAACTTGACAGACACATTCCCAGCCACCTCTGGGTGGGTTACTCTGTTTGCAAGCCCTCCTCCTCGGTTATCAGTAGGTCATACGGTGACTTCAGTGAAAAGAAACATCTTATTGCCTGAATTCAGAAAGGAAGATAAAAATAGACAAAGCATTTATTTTTTATTTTTAAATCTTGTAATTAAATTACTGATGGAGTGTTACAAATGAGAGAAAAAACACATTATTCACAAATTAGACAGAGTGCCTTAAAGCTCAACAGTACAAAGCAGTTGAAGGTATGTAACCCAATACCTACTCCAACAGACCCGGTAGGCATCAGAAGACAATGATGGTTTATAATTGTTTATAGAGGACTGAAAAGACAGGTTGCATTCATTCCAGACTGCCAAGGCTTCCCTGTATATTCAATCTAGCTAGTTTGTTTGTTTGTTGTTTAAGATTAATTTATTTATCTGAGAGAGAGAGAAGGAAAGGGAGCACAAGCTGGGGGAGGGCCAAAGGGAGAGGGTGAGAGAGAATCCAAAAGCAGGATCGCCGCCCAGTGCAGAGCCTGATGTGGGGGCTCAGTCCCAGGACGTGCGATCATGACCTGAACTGAAATCCAGCGGGCCACTTAGCTGACTGAGCCACCCAGGCGCTCCTCAGTGTAGCTAGTTTTTGTAGTTTATACTGCGAATTGAATTTTTAGCAGGCAGATTCTGATTCCCAGAAGGGAAAGCTGGTTTGAGGGGCTTATAGTATGGGCCCATAAGGGACACAGGTGCCTGACTGGAATTAATCACAGATAAAGTGCTAGTTAACTCGGGTCTCAACCAGAGGCTCCTCACATACCAGGTGAAAAGTACATTGGTCTCAGCTTTGCCTGAGTCGATGGCGCCCTCAACTGGCTTTTGCTGGTACCAACACCTCTTTCTTTGAATAATTGTGGGAGACACATAAAACGCAAAACACAAGTTGAAGCCGTAGCAGCTGTAAAAGCCATCTGATCACTCATCTGAAAGGAATACAACACTTATAGCTTCACGATCATAGGAAATAAATGTAAATGTATGTTTTTTTAAAATTTAAGAATAATGACTATCAGTTTCTGGTGTATATTGTTGTGACTTGTTATTTTTATACATTATGAAATGCCCCTCACGATAATTCTGGTTACCACCTGTCACTGTACAAAATTATTAGATTAGTATAGACTCTGTTCCCTGTGTGGTACATTACATCCCTATAACTTATTTATTTTGTAATTGGAAGTTTGTACCACTTAGTCCCCAAATGTAAATTTCATTGTGGGTGGGAATGTGAAATGATAGAGCCACTTTGGAAAAAAAAAAATTGACAGTTACATATAAAGTTTAACATTTGCCATATAACCCAGTAATACCGCTCTGTCTTCGTCTGCTAGACCTCTCCCTGTGTGTTCATATAAGCCTTTCCTCCATCTGTACATGTGACTTTCTTATGAGGCCACACATTTATGACCTCATTTAACCTTACATACCTACTAAAAGCCCTATCTGCAGATACAATCACATTGGGGGTTAGGGCTTCCACATATGAATTTGGGAAGGACCCAAACATTTAGTCCATGACACACTCCTAGGTGTTGACCCAAGAGTAATAAAAAAACGTATGCTCTGCAAAAACATTTACCTAAATGTGATGGTAGCTTTACTCAAAATCGCCCCAAACTGGCAACAACCAAGCTGTCTTCAACTGTTGAATGGATAAATAAACGTTGGGACATTCATATGGTAGAATATTATCAATAAAAAGGAACAAACTACAGGCACATCCATGAATCTGAAAGGCATTATGCTAAGTTGAAAAAAACCAGACTCAAAGTCTACATATTTTTTATAAAGATTTTATTTATTATTTATTTGACAGAGATTACAAGTAAGCAGAGAGGCAGGCAGAGGAGGGCGGGGGAAGCAGTCTCCCCGCTGAACAGGGAGCCCGATGTGGGGCTTAATCCCAGGAGCCCGGGATCATGACCTGAGCCAAAGGCAGAGGCTTTAACCCACTGAGCCACCCAGGTGCCCCTCAAAGGCTATATATTGTATGATGACTTTCATGTGACATTTTGGAAAAGAGGAAAAACTATGGGAACAGAAAATTGGTCCGTGGTTGCCAAGGATTTACTAACAAGGGGCACTAGGAAACTTTTCAGGCGATGGAAATGTTCTATAGTATGATCGTGGTGAACGTAGCTTTGTGTAGTTGTCAAAATTCGTAGAACTATATACTTAACAAGAGGAAATTTTACCACATACAAATTATACCTCGACGAATCTGATGTGAAAGAATAAACAGAAGATACTTGAAAAAATTCATTTGTATGTATGTTTTTGCTGAAAGAAAATGGGAAGAGAATCCCTAAAGAACTTTTGAACACAAAACTTACCAGGATAAAATTATGTTGGAGTAGAATGGGAATATGAGGTAAAGGAGAGAAAGGTAGGATAGAAATTTCTAATTGCTAAAGCAAAGTTTTGTTCATGGATTTTTGAAATAGATGATAGTGAGTATCAAACTGTTATGAGTCCATTGGATATAGGTTAGTAACAGTTTTCTTTTCAAAGTTTTATAGTTGCATGTTGGATATTACACCTGATTAAACTTTTAATGAAAAATATAGATGTCAAATTTAAAATATGCTAGAATGTAGTTCTTTTAGGGGGACATGACCAAAAAGTTTCAAGACCACTGCATTTTTGTTTGTTTGTTTTGTCTTATAAAAGTTTATGTGAATATTCACAGTTAAGCCGTGTATTTTAAGGTCATATATACAGAGTAAAAATAAAGTTTATTTCTAGATAACTGCCATTTAGGGGCTTTGACATTCCTTTGGGCTATCATATCACAACAGGGTAAGAATTTTACACATGCAAAATTGAGGCTCCTATAAAAGCAGTTGGTAGGTAACATGTCTTAGCCATAGGTGTTTTGTTTTGTTTTGTTTTCTTTTTCTTTCTTTCTTTTTTTATGTAGGCTCCATGCTCAGTGTGGAGCCCAACTCGGGGCTCAAACTCATGACCCTGAAATCAAGACCTGAGCCGAAATCAAGAGTCAGATGCATGATCGACTAAGTCACCCAGGTGCCCCACTCTCTCCCATCCCTAGTTCTTCATTCTCCCTTTAAGACACCCCACCACCTCTACACAGATTGGAATGGAGCTCAGCTCTCTCCCTTATGGTCAATAGTGTCTGAATAAAATCTGATTTCACCTCTTTATCTAACGCTTAGTTTTGTCTACCATTGATAATATGCTGCTCCAAGTAACCTGGGTTTCCTCACAGTATGGTGGCTGGGCTCAAAGGGACACTGAAGAGAGAAGGAAGTGACCCCGTGGCAATTAGCAATACGTTACTGGTTCCTCAAATGCAAAAATGCCTAATACTATACCCACTTATAAATCAAAGAGCATTGTTATTGAAGTGATTCAAGTCTGAAAGAGAAAGCAACGTAAAAATAAAGGAATAAAGTTAAGACAGCTGAGGATAGTACAAATGTATACTTAGAGTGAAGGTAAATTTGCCCTTTGGGAAATAAAAGAATTACTGCTTTTAAAAAAAAATCCAGTGTTTAATTGAAAGGCTCACATAAAATTAAAACATAGAAAAGAACGAGAAATTAGGAGCGATGTTGAAATTACAACTTAGGCAGACAGGCCCTTGTTTGCTATTGTTCTTATTTTAGAGATAAGGACACCCAGATAATGAGTATTAATTTTGGAGATACATTGGATACTTAACCATCACAAAATGTTTTTTGGATGTGTTCTTTTCAATACAGCTCTGCTGAATGGGTCCACCACGGGACGTACTTAAAAACTAGCAAAGGCGCTTTTATTTTAGCTCAAGAAACTTGATTTTTTTTTTAATATGATTTTTGACCCCCGTGGGCTTCCGGCTCGGACTACATTTCCCAGCAGGCCACGCTCGGAACTACGGGTGCCTACAAGAGGTTTCGCTACTTTGGTGGCGGCGCAGTCGCCGTGCGGCCGGCGGACGGGCGGGCGCTTCGTGGTTTGAATGGCTGCGGGCTCGGGCCCTCAGCTCACCTGAGGACCGGCCGCCCAGGGGTGCGCTATGCCGTCGGGAGGCGACCAGTCGCCGCCGCCCCCGCCTCCTCCTCCGGCGGCCGCAGCCTCGGATGAGGAGGAGGAAGATGATGGGGAGGCGGAGGACGCCGCGCAGCCGGCCCGGTCGCCAGCGCCTCAGACCCAGCAGCGGTTCGAGGAGCTGTGCAGCCGCCTAAACATGGACGAGGCGGCGCGGGCCGAGGCCTGGGACAGCTACCGCAACATGAGCGAGAGCTACACTCTGGAGGTGCGCCCGGGGGAAGAGAGGTGGGGCTTTCCGGGCCTAGTCGTCGCGTCCCACCGCGGGAATGGGGCCCCTCCCCTCCCCGGGTCGGGCGCCCTGCAGGAGCCCGGAGACCGGCAGTTCCCGGGTCTCCGGTCCCCAGCCTGCAGAGCCGGGGGACTCCTCCCTGGGCACCTCGGTCCCGGAGACCTGGCTTTCGGGAAGCTTTTAGCGGCCCAGCAACTGACCCTCGTCTCGCAGCTGTTCCCTTTCGAGTTCCGAGTGGGGAACACCTCTTGCCCTAAAGTGGCAGCGCGAGGCTGAGGTCGTGCTGGGGTCATGATTGCAAAAATACAACCACCTTGTTGGCGGAATGAACAGGTGCAGTCGTGGTGGCCTTAAGGAGAAGGGGAGGGGACTTGGCTGTGCTCCCACGGAGATCAGCCCGATTTTAGCGCCTCGGTTGCTAGGCTGCTTCTTCAGTTCTTTGCCTGCTGTACCAAGTTGCCTTTGTCCCGGCGTTGCATCCGTGGAGTAAGCGCGTCGTTAAGTTTCGGGCTGGGTTTGTGTGTACACCGAGGCGAACCTTCTGCGGGCAAATGAAACGGGCTTCCTGCCTATCTGCACATAGATACACGCCGCCCCCCCCCCCCCATTTGTCCCTAGGAAGTCCGGACTGGGACGACCTTGTGGACCTTTTGGTCACCCCAGACGTTACCCGGGACTCTATACCCTCTGTGATTTCGGCCTGTCATGTCCCTTTCTTCGGACTGGGCTTGCGGATGAGAAAACTGGCCCTTCTAGCCAGTGAGGCTCAACTCTGTAGGCACCTCCCCTTTATGGACCAATGGGAAGTGACACGGAAGTCTGGATTGTTTACCAGCTGTTTGGCTGTGTGGGGCATTAAACAGGAGGCCGTGAGATTTTCTGAAGTTGTTTTACAATTTGGGGAAAGAGCGGGGCCAGTAGAATGAGGAGTCCTAAGCAAGGTATTGTTTAATTATAATAATAGGATTTTTTTTTTTTTTTTTTGCCTGTGTGTGACTCACTAAGGTTACTTTCTGTTAATTCTTGCATTAATAGAATCTTATTTCAATTCCTTCTCCTCGTAGTTACATCTACAGCGTGGAGGGAGGGGGGAAGGCTAGTAATATAGTGGCTTTAGAACTTGACGACCTAGGTGACTTTGGACAGTTTGCTTCACCACTCCAAAACTCAATTTTGTGATATGTAAATCTGAGATAATTTGTGCCTCCATCAGAGTTGTTCTGAAGGTTTAATAAGGTCCTGTGTCGTTGCTGGCACAAAAGGCGGTCGTGGACCCTGCTTCTGCTTGAGAGTTACAGAGCTCCTTCCTCTGCTTAGGTGATGTGGCTGTGGCTGAACGGGTCATATTCCTGTTTATTTCTCAGTGGTTCTGTGGTCAGTGGTTTCAGTGGTTCTTTGGTGATGGGCGTAGTGCTTCCAAATAAGCTCTTATTTTATCCTCATGATCTTCTCTTAAATTGCATAGAACAAGTAATTATCCCCATACAGCTGAGGTATTTCAGCTCAGAGGGGTTAAGTTGTATGACGCCCGGTGTTCTATGAGCAAGTGACAGTTGATGGTTAGTAAATTATTTCTGAAAACATGTGTGATTACTCAATTTTTGAAAGACTTGGACTTCAGAGTCTTAGCTCAGTTTACCCAATGAATGAACAAATAGTCATTTATCAAATATTTATCACCTCTTCTTTTTTTCTTTTTTTAAGATTTTAATTTATTTGACACACACAGAGAGCACGAGCAGGGGGAGCAGCAGGCAGAGGGAGAGGGAGAAGCAGACTTCCCGCTGAGCAGGGAGCCTGATGCAGGGCTAGGGATGATGACCTTAGCAGAAGGTAGAGGCTTGACCAACTGAGCCACCCAGATGCCCCTATCACCTCTTTGCCAGATACTATTGTAGATGGTGGGGACAGAGCAGCGTACAAAACTTAAAAATCTCCACTGTTGTGGAGCTTGTAGTCGGGTATGCTCTAAGATAACGTAGGTTGTCAGTCTCATGGAAGTGTACGATGGAAAATAACACTCATGACATTTTTAAAAAATATTTTATTTGAGAGACAGAGACAGTAACAGAGATAGGGAGAGAGAGAAGCAGAATGCCCACTGAGCAGTGAGCCCGATGCAGGGCTTGATGCAGGGCTCTATCCTAGGACCCTGAGATCATGACCTGAGTGGAAGCAGACACTTAACTGACTGAGCCACCCAGACTCCCCTCAATATGATATTGAATACAGAGTATTGGCTATAGAATTTTATCTTTTTTGATTTCTTGTATTTTCTGGGCTTTATACTTGTAACTCATTTCAGTCTCACAGCCCTCGGATAAGGAAGTTGAGTCTCTGTGACTGTTAATTTGTCCCAGAGTGGGACACCCAGGCCATGTATGCTGAGAGAGTGAGCCAGGTGGAATCATTATTGCCCTTTCTGATCTTGCAAGGTACATAGCAACATTTTCACCTGTGCTATTAGTTGAGACAGTTGAAAATGAGGGAATGGAACACAGATTCCTATCTCCTAGTGTGAAAATGTTTATGTCCCAGTATAAGGAGCACATGGGATAGATAGAGCCATCATTGAAAATACAGTTTCCCGCAAACATAAAAACAGTGCCTTCCATTTAATCTAGAAAGGTTATTATATTGAAATGTTTATATAGCTCATTAGCTAAAACTCAGTTTTCTTTTATTTTTACAGGGAAATGATCTTCACTGGTTAGCATGTGCCTTATATGTGGCTTGCAGAAAATCTGTGCCAACTGTAAGCAAAGGGACAGTTGAAGGAAACTATGTATCTTTAACTAGAATCCTGCGATGTTCAGAGCAGAGGTAACTATGTCAGAGTTTGAAAGGTAGAATGTGACAAATACGAAAACTCAAAAATCGTAGTGATATTAAGAATCCTCTCATCATTTCCCAGGCATTTGTACCTATAGAGTGTTGAATTTAGAAGTTAGGTCATGGTTTTCCTTTACTGCATTTAAGTATCTATTATATTTTTACTCTTTAGTGGAAAGTTTTAAAATTTTAATGTATTAGGCATTTATATGAAGAACTTACTATTAAAGGTTATGACTTACTGTGCATTATTGGGAGAATTCTAAATAAGGATATTGAGAAACTTTAGGATATACTCTAAATTGTAGAGGTAATTAAATATGGTATTAAACTTAAAACTACATGTATAGGATTTGTATTTTAATATATGGAGTGTGTAAAGACTTCTCTGTTTCCTGTATTGGGGGATAAGCAACACTCTTAAAAACAGTTACTGAAAGGGCCAAATAATGGTTTAAAGAAGAGGCAGAAATTGCTTTTTCTATCTGTTGTATAATTGAATTGATTACATTTATCATTTGTGCCATTTGGGTGAATTTTCTTTTATGACTTACTAAAGATTGGCGGAAAAAGATTATTTGGCACTTTGTGGGGGGGAGAATGCCACAGGCAAAATTTATGTACCTAATGGCTTAAAAAATCACTTGCTATTAAAATAAGAAGAAATGTAATATTTAAGCTGTAGTCTATTAACCTTGAACTCCATCCCAAATTATATTTAGGCCTAAGAACAAGAGGCAGTGCATAAAGAGTTGAACCCCTGAACTGTATACCTGCATAAGTGGACTTAAATAAGGTGCAAAAGTATCATCATTACAGAGAAGAAAAGGCGAGGCAGGGCAATCCAGTTAGGATTGGAACTTTAGAAGCAAAGGTCAGATTATGGAATCATCATCATATACTGTAGTAAATCGACTTATCCAACATTTTAGTGCAAGTAATACAGTCCTAGGCTTCAGGTGTAGTTCCATTTCAGAAACTCAGTTTCTATCTTTAAATTTTCACCTTTGAGTTCAGATTATTTACTTTTCTGCCATAATGGACTAAAATGGGTTAAAAAACAAAGAGTATATCAGGAGAAGGTATTTCCAATGTGTATAACTGACAGAAGATCAGCATCCAGATTTATATAAAGAGCTACTAACAAATGTTTGCATGTTTGACAAGCAGCCACTAAACGAGGGGTAAAGAATGTGGTTTCCCAAAGGTCAAAACTCACATAGCTAATCGATGTATGTAAAGATGTTCAATTTCACTAGTAACCAAGGAAGTTCAAATTAAAAACAAGGTATCCGTTACTCTCATCAGATTGGGGAAATTTGAAGTCTGATAAAACCAGCTTTGGTCATTATGTAGGGAAATGGGAACTCTGTATTGCTGGTGTACTTTGATGAGAGTATGAATTGGCATGGCCCCTCAAATGGGAAGTTTGACCAAATCTAGTGAAGTTGAAGATGCACAGTCTCCGGCTTAGCAGTTCTACTTCTTGGTGTCCCGAAAGAAGCTCTTACATACATGTACGAGAATGTGTCGATTACAGCATTTTGGGGTCATAATGTAAAAATAGAACTCAGTTTCCATTGGTTGAATGCAGAAAGTCATGCTAGTTCATAAGAAGGAATATTTTTAACAGTTAAAATCAATGAGATCTACATCTAACAGTGTTAATCTCAGAAACATTGAATGAAAAAGCAAGTTGCAGAATTCTACTTAAAATATGATACTGTTTATCTAAAATCTTAAAGCCACACATACAAAAGATACTACTTACTGTTCATGGATACATTTAGATCCATGTAGTACCTATACTAAGTAGTAAGTATAGTCACAGGGATGGGAAGGATTCAGACTAACTTTAGAATGGTGGTTATCTTTGGGCAGGCAGTGAGGGGCATGGGTTTGGGGAAGAGTACAAATGGGAATTTGGCTGTTTTGGTAGATCTGATGCAAACATGGCAAAATTTCTTCAATATGTTAATGTTTGTTAAATTTGGCAGTTGAATACATAAGTGTTGGTTACATTACTCTATTTACTATTTTTATTTATTTCATAATTAAAAAATAAAGCCTTCTGATAATTTCAGAAAAATAGATTAGGAAAATCAGAGAAATAAACCAATCTGTAAGAGATTAAGCTAGTCAGAGGCATGAGGTGTGATTTTATCACCGTTTTAAAGTAATATAATTAGTTAAATTTTTGATTTAATTATATTTGTGTACCCCACCTTTGTGTTAATTTTGAAAATATCTCATTTTTTATTTTTAATATCAGCTTAATTGAATTTTTTAACAAGATGAAGAAGTGGGAAGACATGGCAAATCTACCCCCACATTTCAGAGAACGTACTGAGAGATTAGAAAGAAACTTCACTGTTTCAGCGGTAATTTTTAAGAAATATGAACCCATTTTTCAGGACATTTTTAAATATCCTCAAGAGGAGCAGCCTCGTCAACAGAGAGGAAGAAAACAGCGGTATGTTTTTATATTTGTTAGTCAGGAATACACTTTTTTTTTTTTTTTTTTTGATCTGTGCTTCAGTTCTGATCCCTCAGTTGGTGTCCCTCAGTTTATTTTGTTAGGTTTTTGTTTTGTTTTGTTTTTGTATTTTTTAGAGAGAGAAAGAGACCGAATGCTTGCACTGGGTGTGGGGGGAGGGGCAGAGAGGATCTTCAGCAGGCTCCAGGCCCAGGGAGGAGGCCATCATGGGGCTCACAGGCCATGAGATCATGAGCTAAGCGGAAATCAGGATTTCGTCGCTTAACCGACTGAGCCACCCAGATGCCCCTTTTTTGCTAGTCTTAACAAAAAACTAAAAAAACCAAATGTGATTTCATAAATAATCTTTCTTTCCAATAGTTCTGTTTTAATAATAATTTCTTGCTTCTTGATTCATGTTGGCCATGAAAAATTGGGCTTCCTTCATATTGCAAAATGCATGGAATTATTATTTCTGTAAACTTAACCTTTTCATTTAAGCACCCAAAAATGCAAAAGTCAGATCTTAGATATTTTTGCCAGTTGGCCGCCTTGGATATAGAATTTGACTCCTCGATTTTCTGTTATTGGCTATGTTGACTATTTGTATTATTTGACTTTATTTATTTATTTTATTTATTGTATTATTATTTGTCCAGCTTAGTGACAGATAATCCCCCTGAACTGGCTTCTGTGTGTATTTTGAAGTTTACAGTTAATGAAGAGTAGAGAAATTACATGGGGAAGAGGAGGGGACCTAAAATGATCATGAATTTGTGCTTTCTGATCATGTCTGCAAAATCTATGAACTTACTCTGGCTCAGTGTTTTGCATCTTTCCCGATAAAGGCAATCTTGGGAAGTAAATTCTCTACCTTTATCATGCACACTTTTTCATAAAGTAGAATCGGAAATTTTTCTTAAGATTATTTATTTATTTATTTGAGAGAGAGAAATAGTGAGAGCAAGCAGGCAGAGCAGCAGGCAGAGGGAGAGGGAGAAGCAGGCTCTCCCCTGAGCAGAGAGCCTGATGTGGGACTCGATCCCAGGATCCTGGGATCATGACCTGAGCTGAAGGCAGCTGCTTAACCGACTGAGCCACCCAGGGGCCCCTGGAAATTGTTTTTAAACTAAACTAGAAGAATGTTGACAAGACAAGTCAGGGAAAAGGAGTTGTTATACTTGAATGAATAATGTTTGCCTCTCTTTCTTTTGCTTGCTCGCTCGCGCTCTTCTTTTGTTTTTTGCTTCTCTTTCAATATAAATTTTTTTCCCAAATTATGAAAGGTGTTTATATAAGTAAGTGAGTAGCTTTTTTTTTTTTTAATTTTATTTATTTATTTGAGAGAGAGAGAAAACAAGAAGGAGAGAAATGGAGCAGAGGCAGAGGCAGAGCGTGAGGGAGAAGCAGATTCCTTGCTGAGTGGGGAGCCCGACATAGTGCTCGATTCCTGGACCCTGAGATCGTGACCTGAGCTGAAGGCAGATGCTTAACTGACTGAGCCACCCAGGTGCCCCAAGTGAATAGCTTTTAAAAATAAAAGAATCTCTGTACTTTCTTAGTTGACCCCACTGCTAAGGAAGCAGCTGGTGTAGTTTGCTTGTAGTTTTAGAGAACTATTTCCAAAGTTTGGATAGGTGCTTTGTTCCAAATCTGAGTGAGGCTGATTGTATCATTTACAGAAAGATAGACAATATCTTCTCTCTTTGTAGTGTTGTAGAAAATGATTTTAGATTTTAGATTGTACTTAGTAGGGTATCTGTACTACCTAATTATAGTTAAGAAAATTGTAAGATAACTTTATTCTAAAAGTTTTACATTTAGGTCACTCTGTATGCATTAATTAGTACTTTTGGCTAATAATAGTAACATACACCATTTATTGAGCATTTATTTTGGGGACTGTTCTAAGATTTAAATCTGTATTCAGGGGGCACCCGGGTGACTCAGTTGGTTAAGCGACTGCCTTCGGCTCAGGTCATGATACCGGAGTGCCAGGATCGAGTCCCACATCGAGCTCCCAGCTCCATGGGAAGTCTGCTTCTCCTCTCTCATGATCTCTCTCACTGTCTCTCTCTCTCAAATAAAATCTTAAAAAATAAAAAAAAAATAAAAATAAATAAATCTGTATTCAATGAATCTATATGACAGCCATATGAGGTTGATGTTGTTACAGGTGGAGAAACATAAGCTGTTGAGAGGTTAAGTAATTTGGTCAGGGTCACACAGTAAGTGTGGAGCTATTACTGAAATTAGCGGTCTGCTTGTAGAACCCATGTGCTTCATCACGACTCTGTACTACATCTCACACACACTTTGAGAATTTGTCACTGGGTATTTGTTGAGAACTTAATGTGAAGTATGTTGTTAGGTATGATATAGAACACAAGTATTAATTTATTTATTTTTGAGAGAGCGAGAGTAAGAGGGAGAGAGAGAATCTTAAGCAGGTTTCATGCTCAGCGCAGAACCCAGTACGGGGCTCCAGTCCCACGACTCTGAGATCATGACCTGAGCCAAGATCAAGAGTTGAGTCCCTAACCAACTAAGCCACCCAGGTGCCCCAGGACACAAGTCTTTAAAAAAAAAAAAAATACCAAAACCCCACAGCCACTGTCTTTTGAGAGCTTACAGTATAGTTGTGGAGAGGAGGCATGTAGAAATGTGAAAGACAATAGGAACGTAAAACTTCCGAGCCAAAATTAAACCACTCTACATGAGCCAGTCAGCTAAGGATCCATGGAGTAAGGAATGATGGGTTGGATTTCGATGGGTGAATTTGGAGATGTAGGTAGAGCCTTTATTGCATAGGATAAAGAAGGAATACAATAAAGTTGCAAAATAAGAGGCAGTTTGGTGTAGTAGGTTAAATTCTAGGGTTCTCAAGTCAAAGATTCAGTTTTTAGAGTGGCTTGAGTGTTAAGCTAAAAAAAAGTTTGGCTTTTATCTTGGTAGACGTTAAAACTGAATAGTTCTCATGTGCCTGTGGTACAGAGGCCATTTTTGTTTTGTATCTTTTAATTTTTTAAAAGATTTTGCTTATCGTAGAACATGCAGGAAAGTGGGGAGAGCAGAGTGAGAGAGTCTCAAGCAGACTCTGTGCTGAGTGTGGAGCCCAACACTCAGCACAGAGGGATTCAGTCTCATGACCCTGAGGTCATGACCTGAGCAGAAATCAAGAGTCAGACGCTTAAGCAATTGAGCCACCCAGGTGCCCCAGAGGCCACTTTTAAAAAGCAGGGCACTGACATTTAATGTCGCCAGGGACTGGTGACTTAAGTACAGAACTCTGCCCAAGTAGAATGATCGTTCAGCAGATGAAGAGACGAGGCATATGGACAGCAAGTGTGCCTTGTGAAGGACAGTGGGAGAACTAAACCCCAGTGTCCTGATTGTTCTTCTTAGAGCTCCTTGTTGGGATGTGGAGACCATAGATGTTTTATCTAAACATTGCAGGGGGTTCTGGTAGAAAAGACGAGAGCTTAAAACAGGTCCGAAACTCCCTTCAACAGACAGCATTGACAAAATAGAATGGATCGTCTTAACGATAAAGAATAAAAAATTCTAGGAAGCCCAGAAGTTACATTAAATAGTCCTTTTGTGACTTGACGTAATCTGAAATGTCTTTAGGGAGGGAGGGTTGGGTTTACAGTTTATCAGATGTGATAAAGGAAAAAAAATGGGGAAATAATCAGCATACACAGGTCCGAAAGTAGCATCAGCCTTGCTGATGTCATTAGAAGAACTGTTGTCACTCATTTTCTGCCTTACCTGTCTTGACCTTGACCTTTTAGAGTTCTTCAGAATTTTCTTTTTTCTGGGATGAACTCTCCTTGGCTTTGTCCTTACCAGGATTTGGTTGGAGCAGAACTTGCATGTTTTCTGTCTGAAGTGAATCTGCTCTTATTCCCTTTAACTCTGGGTTTGGTGTCTCACCTACTTTATAGTCACTTGTGGTCTTTCTCGCATGCTTCTCTTATCTCATGACTTTTTTTTCTCCCCCAAAGGCGACAGCCCTGTACCGTGTCGGAGGTTTTCCATTTTTGTTGGGTGCTCTTTATATACGCAAAAGGTAAGACAGAGCAATATTTATCTAGATGTTAGCTTATTTAAATGTTCACATAGCACTTTTGTCAATCTGTAATGCACTCTGAAAAATTTAAGGGTTTTAGTCTCAGATTCATTTTTGAGTATTGCCTTTTCATAAAAGATTTAAATTTCTTTATAATGTCCAAAATTACTTTTATTAAAAATGGAAAATCCTTTAATTTTGTTCTTATGTAACATCTTTTCTGCTCAAAGCTATTCTTCTGAGTTATGGACTGAAAACACATTAGTGGTCTGTACTGGTATCTTCAGCTGTATTTTTCATGAGCCACGTCTTATTTCTTTGAGTGTGACTGCTCATCTCAGTATGTGTAGTTCAGATTACTTTTTGCATCTTGTTCAGATAAAGACACTTGCTCAATGCCTTTGGATACAATTTATTTCCTCCCCCTTCTCATCTCCCTTAACTTACCCAAGGTCAGTGAAATATGTTTTTATTTTATTTTATTTTTTTTGGTCCTCTCCATATTTCTATGTAGAAATGATTCTTAGTAATCTCAAGAAGAAAATAAGTGACATTAATTACATAGACTATGTAGAATGCCTTTGCTATTAAGAAAACCCAATAAAATACAAAATTATAACCAAAGAATCAGAGCTGGAATTTCGTAAATGTAAGAGATTCTCATTATTAGATCAAGTAGCCCAAATAATTTACTTTTAGGGTTAGGTAATTGAGGCCCAAAAACTAGCTGCTAGGAACAGAGCTAGGATCTGAACCCAGATCTAGCTCTCCGTTTCTTGCCAGAGGCAAAGGCTCTCAAGCAAGGATGCGTCACTCCATTGGTCTCGGGTTTGATGTGTCTGATTATAACTGATTAAATGAGTTTTAACTAGCTAGTTAAATGAGAGCTCAGCCTTCCTCCTTGAGCTTTATGGTTGGTTGAAGGTATTACGCTAAGTGAAATGTCAGTCAGATAAAGACAATTATCATGTGGTTTCACTCATATGTGGAACATAGGAGATAGTGCAGAGGATCATAAGGGAAGGGAGGGAAAACTGAATGGGAGGAGGTCAGAGAGGGAGAAAAACCATGAGAGATTCTTGACTCTGGGAAACAAACAGAGGGTTGTGGAGGGATAGGTAGGTGGGAGGATGGGGCAACTGGGTGATGGGCACTGGGGAAGGCAAGTGATGTGATGAGCACTGGGGCTTATATGAAATTGATGAATTATTGAACACTACATCTGAAACTAATGATGTTACTGTGTGTTGGCTAATTGAATTTAAATAAAAGAAAAATCTTTCTTCTGCCAAAAATAAGCTGCTAGTTATTTTGCTTTCCATCACTCTGGCATGTTTCTTTAGTGGAGATAAAGGTGATAGGGTAAGTGGTACAAAATAAAGGCATAGGCGCATATAAACTGTTCTAATAGTGGCAGTCGCCCTTGCTGTCACTTTTAGTTTGCCATGGTTGGTATTATATACGGTATTAATGTTGTCATTCGATAGTGGGCAGGTATATGTTGACTTCTGGGATTTTTATCTGTTTTGTTTATGTCTCTTATGGTGCATGTGTACCTGGGAGTGACTGTGTTTGGTACTTTATAAACTATTTACAAACAATTTTATTGTCCTTATTTACATTTTGGTCTCACTTGATTACCTGGGGTGGCATGTGTTTTTGTCTCTGCAGTTAATTCAGTGTTTGTGTTTTATTATTAGTTCCGTCTGTAATTACTTAATCTGAAGAGTCTTTATCTCCTCACTGTCTGACACTACCATCTTTTATGATTCACCAGGAACTTTTCTAATAGAGTTGTTGAATTTGTTTTATTCAGTTCTTGATTTAGTTGTTTGGAGAGAGTTGTACCCTTCTGTAGCCACCTTTCTATGACTTCCCTGTAGCATATGGGCAATCCCAGATGATCTCATTCCTGATATGGAAGCCAACTTTCTGCCTCCTACCTTCGTTGACTTCCTGGTATACACCAGTGACAAGTTTGGGCTTGTCATCATGAAGAGCTTTGTGGCCTGAAGACCACTCAGTGCCACTTCCTGTTTTACATTCTCCAATCTCCTCATTTCTGATAAATAAGCCAACTTTGGAGTTTAAACAAGTTATCTTTATTTGAAAGATAACTTATCTTAACCAAGTGAGATCTGTTTCTAAGGTCAGGATTTGTATGTCATGTGGGACAGTCTTGGGAATTTAAGATTTTGATCTTCAGGGGCCTTTCTGTTTTTGTGTTAGAAGTTATAGTGCTGCTGGTTTGTGTGTGGTTTTTTTTTTTTTTTTTTTTTTTCCTTTATGGCAAGTACAAACCAGTAACAAGTTTAGGCTTGTCAATGTGATGGGCTTTGTAGCTTGAAACCAGTAGGTTCCACTTCCTCTTTTACATTTGAGAAACTGAGTACACTTTAGTATGAAACATCTTTATAGTGGAACCAAGCAAGTTAGTTTGGTTGTATTAGTGCAAAACTTAACCTATTAATTATCATTTGTCTTTATGACAACAGAAAAAAAAATTCTCTTTAATTCATTTACGTCGATTTGTTGAATGTTTTCATCTTTACAAAAAGAGAGTTATCCTGATATGTAGAGGTAAGTGGCAATTTTCTTTGGAGGAAAGGAGAGGGGAAAAAAAGCCTGAAACAAAGCAGTGTGTGTGTGTGTGTGTGTGTGTGTACTGTGTGCATGTATTTGGGCAGGCATTACATGTGAAAATGTTGAGGTTTAGAAATAATCCCTCAGATGTATGTTAGCTATTAAACTTGAATTTATGTGATATTATAAGAATGTAAAATCGCTAGGAAGCATGTGTATGCAGTGTTGAATGAGAAAAGAGATATGCTCAAAGTTATAAAAGAAGTCTGGAAATATTTGTTAATTTCTAAGAATAAAACTGTTTACCTGACTGTAAAAACTGATTTCAGTATTAGACTTAAGCTAGCATTACAGAAATGACATATTTCTATAGGTTTGAGTTTTGGTTTCTTTTTTCTTTGTTGTCCTATATCTACATCACTCCTGGGATATTAGCTGTAGACATCCATTGTGATCTGTTTGCATTAATTTGTACGAGTTTGTATTACTGTGTAGAAAGTATCTAAAATATTATTATTAGGACTCTGATTATAGGTTCTGGTCTTTTTTAAGTATATACATGAAAAAGTCGTTTTTCAGCTGTTCCTATCTTAAGTGTTTCTACTAATCTTTTTTTTTTTTTTTAATGAGTTTTCCTATTAGAACTGGTTTTTTGCATCCCAGAAATGTTGGACCATTGTTTGTCTCCATGTATTTTTTTTTTTTTTACTTTTTTAATTAAGTTTTAAATTTTACTTCCAGCATAGTTAACATACAGTGTTAATTAGGTGTATGATATCTACTAATTTTCTGGACAGAAGAGTATTTTCACACAAAGAATTCCCTACAGTTTGAGATAATTTATGAAGTTGTTTAGAATTTTCAAGAAAGAAAATGATAAAATTTGGATCAGCTACTAGGAATTTAATGCTTATTTAATGAATATTGAGTGAATGAATGTTGTTTTTAGTAAACTTTTAGTTTTTATTATGCTCTTAGAAATTTATTAGACTTAAAGAGAAATATTTCAAAATGTAAATTTGCCAGAACATTTCATGTCGCTCATGAGTCAACTTTGGTACAGTGTTGTATAATGTCATTTTAATTAAAGGAAGAAATTACTTTTAAAATATTATAAAGTTGATGCAAATATACTCGATAACTGTTTACATTCCTGTAGGTAATTTCCCCATGATTAGTGATGATTTGGTCAATTCTTACCATCTTCTGCTGTGTGCTTTGGACTTGGTCTATGGAAATGCCCTTCAGTGTTCCAATCGTAAAGAACTGGTGAACCCTAATTTTAAAGGTAAGATTATAAATCAGAGATTATTGGACAACTCACATTTCTATGTTGTGTTACTCTTGGGAGTAGTACACATACCACAGGTTTCCAGCATCAGAGAACAGAAGTGCTTTGAAAAACTCCATCATCATGGTTCTCCAGAGCACTTATAACTACTTGTCACTAGGAGTTGAGCTCTCTGTAAAAATATCCGTGGAAAAAGCAACTGCAAATATTATAAAGTGTAAAGTCTCACATGACAACCTGAGAAGTTTCTGCAAAATATACTCAGCAGGAGGAAGGAATTTAAAAACGCAGGGTAGCAAAGTTATATTAAAACTGATGTTGTTTTTCTACACTGCCAGGCTTTATGCCTGATACACACAGGAGGAGCTCAAAATGGATTTATTGAAATACTCTTCATTCCAAATTTTTTCCTACAGAGGAGAAGTAGTAATGGTTGTAAATAAGTAAAATAAATTTTTAACTCTTAAACTAAAAGGTGAATAGAAATGATTATTTTGGCAGTGGATTTAACAGGTTTTAAGACCTGTATTTTCTACAAATGAATTATCGTAAGAGACCAAATCATAACTTACAGTTAATATTATAAATATTAAACAGTATTTATAGAGCTAGTATGTAATGCTGTTGCTCTTTGAATAATACCATGGTAGGATTCTGAGTGATTTTCAGTTTTGGGGTGGTTATAATTAGAATTTTAGGTTGTCCGTCTTGCAAGGTAGATTTTTAAAGTTAATGGAGTTAGTTACCTAGTTGCTCCTGCTTTGGTACATGTAATGTTTTTCATTTAATGTTTTTTTCTCTCATTTCCTTCCTGAGTCCCTTTTATGTTTCTACATAGTGCTGCTTTTCATTTTTCCCCCTCTTACTTAGCTTTTCTTATACTGAGTCTAGGGCAAAAATAAGTTGTAAATCAGTATATTAAATGTATCCCAGTGTAATGGAATGAAAGCATATAAACTATATATACTTTGATTAGTAATGTTTTCCAAAGTTGTATTTTTTATTTGAATGTCAGACTTACTTGCAAAGTTATATTTTATTTTTATGTTTTTTAGATCTTACAGCAGTATACTAAAATTGTTTCTTTAGTTTTTTTTTAAGTGTCTCCAGATAAATAATTGAATAACTGAAATCTTTTGAGTAGTGATACACTTTACTTCTATTTCTTATTTATTTATTCTTATTTAAGTATAATTAACATACAATGTCACATCAGTTTCAAGTGTACAACATAGTGATTCGCCAGTTCTATACATGACACAGCACTCACCACGGTAAGTGTAGTCACCATCAGTCACCATACAGTGTTATTACAAATATTATTGACTCTGTATTCTTTATGTTGCACTTTTCATCTCCATGACTATTTATTTATTTAAGCTGCTTGATGAATAAGTTTATTATTGTCTTTATCCAAAAAATTTTCATAGAAATTGTGGTTTGGTTTATTAGCGCTCAGCAGCCTGCTCCTGAGCTCTAAGGAAGCTTGCCTTCTTCTGATCTACCTGGTCTGTCTTCTGGGCAAAAGACGGTTTGGGATGCTTCCACCTCTTCCGTCTAACTTCTATCTTAGACTTCTTCTCATAGACTGGATTCTGTCATGTAGCAGCGAGAGCTTTCTTATACATCTCCTCCAGCATTATCTAGAGGTTCTTTGTTCTTTATGTATTAACAGAATCGTTCCTTGTAAGCATCTTCACCTTCTTCCCTTAGGTAACACACCTAATCTGTGGTGTTCTGACCCATGACATGCTTCCAATGTACTTCTGCGTTGAATTCCTTGCTTTCCATATCATAACCAAGGAATCATTTGGTACTGTGAGCGACAGACAAGCTTTCATCCACAGCTCCCTTGAGGGTCCCCAAAACTTTATTTTCAGTAGTAGTTCTGGCCAGCCCTGTATCCAGATAGCAAGTGAAGGCACCAGGTTGATCATCCATGCTTTCTACGTTGCATTTTGTCTTCAATCACTTGCACTTGGCCTTCATAGATCTTGTCTCTGCCAAACCTGTTGAGAAGCCTACAGACCAGCAGCGGGTCCATACAGTCTGCGGCAGCTTACTTGTCAGGCCAGCCATCACCATATTTGGGAGGTCATGAGCATGAGAGCTGCACAAGCTATCATATTTCCTTCTGTCTGAGCATGAGCAGTGTGATAAATGATCTCTCTGTTGGTTACATGGACCATCATTCTGTATTTATGTGTTATCCTTATTTTTATCCTGAATTACCAAGCATTTCTGAGCACAGTTACCTGTTTTACCCTCTCACCTTCTAAATTTCACTTGGTATCTCTCGATGCAAGCCTTATTCTTGACAACTTGAATAAACATCATCCTACAGAACAGAGACTGGCGTCTGCAGCTCACCACAGACCAGCAGGCCCAGCAGCACTCCATGGGGGGACAACTTATTTATCTCTGGAAGTTTGTACCTCTAAATCTCTTTTATCTGTTTTGTCCAGTCCCCCACCCACCTCTCCTCTGGCAACCTGCAGTTTGTTTTCTGTACTTGAGAGTCTGTTTTTTGTTTCTTTGTTTTGCTTTATAGATTGCACACATAAGTGAAATCACATGGTATCTTGTCTGTCACTGTCTGACTTACTGCATTCAGCGTAATACCATCGAAGTCCAGTCGTGTTGTTATAAATGGCAAGATTGCAGAGTAATGTCCTGTGTGTGTGTGTGTGTGTGTGTGTGTGTGTGTGAGAGAGAGAGAGAGAGAGAGAGAATGAGATTCATCTATCAATGGACCCTTGAGTAGCTTTCACACTTGGCTCTTGTAAATAATGCTGCAGTAAACATGGGAGTCCATGCCTTTCCAAATTAGTGTTTTCATTTTCTTTGGGGAAATACCCAGTGGAATTTCTGGATCTTAGGTGTTTCTATTTTAAAATTTTGGAGGAAATTCACACTGCTTTCCCCAGTGTCTGTACCAATTTATAATCCCACACCAGAAGGGCATGAGAAATCCCTTTTCAGCATATCCTCACCAACGCTTGTTCTTCTCGCCTTTTTGATACCAGCCGTTCTGACTGGTGTGAGGTCATTTCTCACAGTGGTTTTGGTTTGCATTTCCCTGATGATGAGTGGTATTGAACATCTTTTCACTTGTCTGTTAGCCATCTGGATCTCTTTGGAAAAATGTTTATCGCGGTCTTCTGCCCATTTTTTAATCGGATGGTTTTGTTTTTTTGGTGTCGAGTTGTAGGACTTAAAATATTTTGGGTATTAACCTCTTATTGGATAAATCATTTGCAGATTTCTTCTCCCATTAGCTAGGTTGACTTTTTATTTTGTTGATGTTTCCTTTGTTGTGCAGAAGCTTTTTATTTTGGTGTTATCTTGATCGTTGATTTTTATTTTTGTTTTTGTTTTCCTTATGTAAGGGGACATATCCATAGATACATTGCCAAGGATGGTGTCAGAAGAGATTACTGCCTATGTTTTCTTTTGTCTGTTTGCTTTTTGAGATATATTTAGAGTAAAATTAGGCCCTTATACACTGTTTCCTGTATACTTACATGCTGAGTCACATGCTGATTAGACTATGTACTTTTGTTTATTATGATTTGACTTATCGAATGCTACCTGATCTCTCTGTTCTGTGAATTTATTCATTGTAGGCCTGTCTGAAGATTTTCATGCTAAGGATTCTAAACCTTCCTCTGATCCACCTTGTGTCATTGAGAAACTCTGTTCCTTACATGATGGCCTAGTTTTGGAAGCAAAGGGAATAAAAGAACACTTCTGGAAACCCTACATTAGGAAACTTTATGAAAAAAAGGTTTGTAAGTAGTAAAGAAATAACTTGAAGATAATTTCTGGGGAAGATTTGTTTTAATATGATGACTTAAGGATCTTTTCTTTCATCATAGCTCCTTAAGGGAAAAGAAGAAAATCTTACGGGGTTTTTAGAACCTGGGAATTTTGGAGAGAGTTTGTGAGTACTTCTGTTATCACAGTGTTTTAATATTTTAAATTGCGTACTTAGAAAACCTCAGAGTTTACTGTTTTTATTGTTTGTACCCTGGAAATTTAGAATATGTTTTGTGGAAGAACGTAGCAAATTACATCAACTGTTACTCTAAGCACATCGTTTTAAATTTATTGAAAATTGTGTGGCTGTTCTTTAAAGCTTTAATAGTTAAACTTTTGAGTCATAATTTTTGAGAGAAATTATTTCAGAACTATATAGGTTAAAAACCATGACATGGAAGTAGTGAGGTCTTCACAGATGCCTAGAGCAGCTAGGAAGGATAACTCTGCATGTCACCAGAAACTGCACCTCCCAGGCCGACTGGCACGGGGCACCCACCCTGAAACACTGTCCACAGAGTGCACCTGCTCTACGGAGGACCGACGTGGTGTAGCAAGCTTGTGTTTCATACACCTAGGGTTTTGTAATTAGCAGTGATCTGCAGTTTAGTTTTCACAAAATTAGTAGAACTTCTTAGTAAATAAAAAGAGTGTAAAAATTAAGTGGCCTAAAACATGAACTGAAATGGCAGTTCTGTGAGTGTATATGTTGTCTGTTTTGTTTTGTTTTTCCCCCTGTAGTAAAGCCATCAATAAGGCCTATGAGGAGTATGTTTTATCTGTTGGGAATTTAGATGAAAGGATATTTCTTGGAGAGGATGCTGAAGAGGAAATTGGGACTCTCTCCAGGTGTCTGAATTCTGGTTCAGGAACAGAGACTGCTGAAAGGGTGCAGATGAAAAACATCTTGCAGCAGCACTTCGACAAGGTGAGCTGGCTGGAACTAGGAGAGTAGAAGTGCAGGAGCAAACGTGCCAGATGATCTGTTTTACGTGGGTAGTCATATGTGCGCGTGCGCACACGCATCGTACCTCTTCTAGTATGAAAAAGAAAATGTTTGTCATACTTACATGAAAAAGTTGTCTCTGTGTTTACTGATTAGATCTGAGAGAAAGAGCATTAGATATAAACTTAAATGAATGTATCATGCTGATAGCTGTGGGTTTTGAAAAAATGGACCAGAAATATGCAATCTTTACTTACTGAACACAGTAGAAATAGAAAATGTCAATTGACCTGAGTACTGTCTTCATCTAGATGGTAGAGAAACTGAGAATCTGTTGTCTTTAGGAAAATTCTGTCAAACTGAGTTTCAGGATCATGGTGTTATTTCTTGCATCCACTTAGAGTGATGGAGACTTCAGAGTTTTCCTTCAGTTCTATGATGTCCACAGAAAATGTACGGCTTCTGACAAGTGCCTGCACAGGCGGTGTGGGTAACTCCTAGGGGTAACCCACTTGTAAGATCAGACTTAAGACTGGTTTGCTAATCATTCAATGAGTATTCTGAAGGTATTCTACATGCCAGATAGTGTCCTGGCACTGGGGGTACATCAGTGAACAAAACAGCCATGAATACCCTGTTTTATATTCTAATATGGAGAGATAGATAACCAAACAAGTAAATATATAGGACATCAGATAATGATACATGAAGAAAAGTAAAATAGAGTAGTCGTACAACATATTGGGGAGAAGGGAGAATGGGTGGGCCTTGGGCTGCTAGAGCTAGAAGGGAAGGACATCTCTGAGGAGGTAGCGTCAACAGGGGTGTGAAGTAAGTGTAGAAGCAAGTCCTGTGAGGAGCTGGGAAGTTTTGGGAAGTTTTGGAAGCCTGGAGAACAGCAAGTGCCAAGCCTTGCAGTGGCAGCACGGTTGGCTTTTTGGAGAAACTGAGAATGGTGTGTGGTAGGTATAAAGTGAGTGAGTACGTGGGAGTGATTAAAAAGTGAGGGGCAGGTGGACACAAGGGACAGGAGGGCTTTGGATGCTGTAGTAAGGTTTTTTGACTTTGCTCTGACTGGGAGTAAAGCCATTAGGAACGTGTTATGGAAACAGTGACTGAATCAGTCTGACTGACATTTGTAAAGGTCTCCTGAGGAGGTGTTTTGGGGGCCCCGTGGAAGTAGGGAATTAAGAGGTTGTTGCGGTAGTTGTGGTGATAGCTCACAGTGGTTTGGCCAGGGCAGTGGTTGGGTTGGGCTGTATTGTGGAGATGGCAGCCACAGGATTGCCTAATGGCTTGGATCCAGGGTGTGAGAGAAGGACGACAGTGATGACTCCAGTTGCATAAATGGTGTGAAAGCTGAAGTCCTTATGAAGGCCTCTAACATCTTCAGTGATGCAGCCCTGTTACCTCTCTGAATTCATCTCCTACCACTCTCCTCCTCACCCGCTGCGCTCATGCCACATAAACCTCTGTCCTCCTTCCTCAAGTATGTCAAGCGTAGCCCCGCTCCAAGCCTGCGCTCTTGCTGTTTCCTCTGCCTAGAACGTGTTTCTTTGAGATATTCCTGTGGTTTACTTCCTCACTTCATTCAGATCTCTGATAGACCCACCAACCACTATACAGAAAAATAACCACCAACTTCCTCCCCCTTCAGCACTTCCTTCTCCTCTTACTCTGCAATTAGTGTTTCTCTGTCTTAAGATAAGTGGGTGGGTTGAAAGAATTGTTTGACAGTAAGTAGATAGACACAAAGATAGGGAAAAAAAAAAGAATCGTTATGCATCTCCCTGCATTAGAATATAAGCTTCCTGAGGGTCTTGAGGAGTCTTTGGTGCCTGGCCCATAGTAGGCATTCCATGAATATTTACTGTTGACATTTACTCAGGGGAAAGAGTAAGTCTGGGGGAAAAAACCCAGAGTCCATATTACGATGGTATGTTAGTTTGAGATCCCTCTTTAGGTGTCCTAGCAGAGATGCTGAGTAGGCAGTTTATGTATACAAGACTGGAGTTCACAGAAGAGGTCAGGGCTGTTTGTATATGGTCAGGAGACATCAGGATATAGGTGGCTTTTAAAGCCATGGAATGAAGAGAAGTCACCTGGCGGTATGAGCTGATGGAGAATAAGAGCTCTAAGGCTAGAGTTCTGAGGCACTCCAAAATTTAGAAGTCGTGACTTGGAGAGGGACTGTCCTACTATTTAAAAATACCGATACTTATACCTGAGTCAAAGAAAGACTCCTATTGGCCAGAATGCACAGGCTGCCTGAAGCCAAGAACTGAGCAGTGCTACCGAGAAGCCTCACGCTGACCTTGAGGACCATGGGCTGAAGGCTGGTTGTGGGAGTCCTGCCTGGTTCCCTTTGCAAAAGCACAGCTCCCTGTGGGCGGTGTGAGATGCTGCTGGCTGCTGTTGCTTTCCCGTACAGGTGCAAGGTGTTTTCCCCTCCCAGCACAGCAGTGGTTTGTATACAGGGAGGAAGCTGGCTCCAGGGAAAACTGGGGAGAGCAGGGAGTAGCCTTCTGAATGTAGTTAACCTACACAGATCATTTTATTGATCTAAAAAAATTACAGAATTAATTTCTTTGAAACCAAGTGGAAGTCTTGGCTCTATCCTGTTTAAATCACAGAGGAAGCATATAGATGTCTATCTGTATGGCGATTTTCTGTGCTTATCTATACTGCATTAAACTTGACTAGTTTGTTTTGCCGGGTGAAAGTTTTGCTAGGTGTTTTTACAAATATCTCTAGAATAAATATACTTACTACATAGGAAACATAGTTTATCCTGAATATTGAAAAAACACTCTTAAGCTATCTTAACCTTTCAGAGTTTATTAGAAAAAATAGAAAAGATGTTTCACTGGCACATGTACTCATGCTTCAATTCTCGGACATTAAGTCATATATTTTTCATGTTTATATTCAAGAATGTTGACTTAAATGTATTTCCCTGAAGGTCTGTCTCATTTACAGGGGAAAGACAGATTCCTGTAACTAAAGGTAGAGGAGGGGCAGGAAGGCTGAAGAAAGCGGCTGGTTCTGGGTCAGGCTGTTGTCTCGTCCAAGAGTGTTGTTTTGTTCCACCTCTCTGAAGCAAATTTGATGACTTAGATGGGCTTTTGTTAAATCATGGAATTCATCTGGGCCAGGTTTAAAGATTTTATTTATTTATTTGAGAGAGAGGCAGTGAGAGAGAGCATGAGTGAGGAGAAGGTCAGAGGGAGAAGTGGACTCCCCATGGAGCTGGGAGCCCGATGCGGGACTCGATCCCGGGACTCCGGGATCATGACCTGAGCCAAAGGCAGTCATCCAACCAACTGAGCCACCCAGGCGTCCCCATCTGGGCCAGGTTTAATTCATAGCTTTCTTATGTCAATCTGTGAGTAGTCAGAAAAAAGTAGGAGATGGGAGCTGTGAAATTCTGTTTCTCAGGGATACTTTTAATAGGTTATTGCTGGGGCTCCTGGATGGCTCAGTTGGGTAAGCGGCTGCCTTCGGCTCAGGGCATAATCCCAGGGTGTGGGATCGAATGCCGCATTGTGCTCCCTGCTCAGCAGAGAGCAAGCTTCCCCCTCTCCCTCTGCCTGCCAGTCGGCTTCTCTCAATTTGTCAAAGAAATAAAATATTTTAAAAAATTAGTTATAGGTGTGCCTGGGTGGCTCAGTGGCTTAAAGCCTCTGCCTTTGGCTCAGGTCATGATCCCTGGGTCCTGGGATCGAGCCCCACATCCAGCTCTCTGCTCAGTAGGGAGCCTGCTTCCTCCTCTCTGCCTGCTTCTCTGCCTACTTGTGATCTCTGTCAAATAAATAAAATCTTAAAAAAAAATAGTTATATTGCTTATTTGTGCCTTTCGGCTTAGGTTCGAAGTAGGGATACTAGGGAACTATGCCTTATCTTAAAAGGTTTAACTTTTTTTTCTTTTAAAGGTTTTGTTTATTTATTAGTGAGTGAGAGAGAGCGAGCACCAGCAGGGGGAGAGAGAGAGAGGGAGAAGCAGACTCCCCGCTGAGCAGGAAGCCCCATGTGGAGCTTGATCCCAGGAGCCTGAGATCACGACTTGAAGCCAAGGCAGACATTTAACTTACTGAGTCACCCAGGCATCCCTTAAAGGTTTAACTTTTAAGAGATAAACGTCCTTGTGGGCTAAAATACCAATTGTCCTTTCACACAGCTTCACACGGAGGGCGGTAGCTCCTTGTGGCATTGTTATGTTTAGATTCCAAGAATGGTGATATTTGATTCATTAAAATGTATTGATAAAGTCTGATTGGTTTAAATTCTCATTTGTGAAGTAATTGAAAGTCCTTCTGACCTAAAGTAATGTTCTTCTCCTCCCCCCACTTAGTCTAAAGCACTTAGAATCTCCACACCACTTACCGGTGTGAGGTACGTGAAGGATAACAGCCCTTGTGTGACCCCAGTGTCTACGGCCACACACAGCTTGAGCCGTCTTCACACCATGCTAACAGGCCTCAGGAATGCACCAAGTGAGAAACTGGAACAGATTCTAAGGTTAGTTTGAGCCCTTCTTTCCTTCTAAGATTTGATCGTTGACCATTTTCTATTTCAATTTTTTAACTTAGTGCCTTAATTCACTCATTATTAATCATATACCAGTTGCATGCTCAGACCCTATTAGTCTGTGGAGTGTGGAGGACATAGTAATATGGGATGTATGAATGGAAGGTGATCATTTTTCCTCAGTATCTTAATGTGTTCCAGCTGTTACCACAGAAGACCATAGACTGGGTGACTTACAAGCAATAGTATCAAGGTGCCAAGGTGCAGTGTCTGGTGAGAACTGCTTCCTGGTCTGTCTGTTTGCTGTCCACACATTCTGTGAGGAGGCAGGGGAGCTCTCTAGGGCCTCTTCCACAAAGACACTAGTCCCAGTGATGTGGGCTCCACTGTCATGACCTGATCACCTCCCAGAGGCCCCTTTGCCAAATACCATCACATTGGGGATTAGGTTTCAACATAAGAATTTGGAGGGGGAACACAAAAATTCAGTCCATGGCATTCAGATTTCTCTTATGTAGTTTGGGAGATGGTAACTAACAGCACTATGTGCTGTAGATTAAAGCACCAGACTGCTGCCAACTGTTCTATCTTAAGATTTCAGGGGAAGAGGGATCAGTAGGGGCACCTGGGTGGCTCAGTGGGTTAAAGCCTCTGCCTTAGGCTCGGGTCATGATCCCGGGCTCCTGGGGTCGAGCCCCGCATCAGGCTCTCTGCTCAGCAGGAGCCTGCTTCCCTTCCTCTCTCTCTAACTACCTCTCTGCCTGCTTGTGATCTCTGTCTGTCAAATAAATAAATAACGTCTTTAAAAAAAAAAAAGGTGGGGGGGATCAGTAAAGACGGGAGTTGTCAAAGGACTCCATGAAGAGGATTGGACCTGAACAAATTCCTGAGGGGTGGGTCAGATTTGAAAAGATAAACCCTTAATATTTATAGCTCATGTCATACCACTGTAACTTCTGTAAGCTCCATAGAATACCCTTCCCCTGAAAACGACGTTAACTGCCTTTAGTCCTTGATCCGCCTAAGACTGGTGGGAGTATCACTGAGCTTTGGTGAAAAGCATAATAGACTGAATCTCATGACCTGTGCATACTTTTTGCAAACTTATTTGAAAAAACTACCTTCAAGGCCCTTCCTAGTTCTAAAAAGTATAGGATTTGTTGACATAGACCCTGTAGGAGGCCATTTTGTTTCTGGTGGTAAAGTGTAAGAAGGTCCAGTATACACACTTGAGTAATTTCTTTTTCACAGCTGGACTTACTAAACCATGAAGTCTGCTTTATTTATAAACTTGATTGTGATTAATACCCAGTAGGCCATGTTGTATGGCCTCTTCCTAAGTCGTGTTTCTCAGACCTTGTATACTTAGAATAGAGAAGCATTTTTTAAATACATTTTAGAAGACTGACTTAGTCTTTATATCTTATAGATCACTTTAGCATCCCTAACCAGGTGTAGCAGCTTCTTTAATCTTAAACACCATTAGTGGGGTTAAATATTACCAGTAAATACTAGGTAAAACCAGAGTCCTGTTTTCTGAAAGGTACCTATGTGTATTCATAAATAAAATTTTGCTTGTATATGATATTCAGTAGCTAACTCTAGCAGGATTATAACTGATTTTTGTTTTCTTTGTAATTTTCTAAACTTGCTAAGCCTTTACAATGAGTATGTATGTCTGTGATCATGATAAAAAAAAAACATAGTTGCTTCAGCACAGTCATGCTGAGCTAGCATCGGCCCCTGGAATTGGATAGGGCCTAGGGCCGCAATCCTTGCTGTGCCCACCTCTTCCCATGACCTCTGGACCATGGACCCCCACAAAATGAGTGAGCTTCAGGCCTTTGTGAAAATGTGTAAGCAGGATCTAAGCATTCTGCACACACAGGAAATATGCTTCCTGAAGGAGTGAGTGGAGAGCATGGAGGGTAAAATACTACCTGGTACTCATAAAACGAAATCAGAAGAAAATACCAAGAAAGAAAAAACAGAAGGTGGAGGAAAGCTTAAAGACAGAACAACCATCAAGTGAGGAAAGTGGTCTAGAACTTGAGAGTGAAGGTGTGATTGAACCAGATACACCCCCGAAGAAATGGGAGATGAGGAGCGCCTGGGACGCTAGTGGGTTAAAGCCTTTGCCTTTGGCTCAGGTCATGATCCCAGAGTCCTGGGATTGAGCCTAGCATTGCATCGGGCTCTCTGGTCAGTAGGGAGCCTGCTTCCCTCCCCCGCCCCGCCCCGCCTGCCTCTCTGCTTGCTTGTGATCTCTGTCAAATAAATAAATAAATAAATAAATAAAATCTTTAAAAAAAAAAAAAAGAAGTGGGAGATGTAGGGGTGACTGGGGAAATGATAGATCAGGCAAGTGATAAAGAAGTGGCTGCCATCGATGCCCTAAATGATGGTGAGCTACAGAAAGCCATTGGCTTGTTCACTGATGCTATCAAGCTGAATCCTCGCTTGGCCATTTTGTATGCCAAGAGAGCTGGTGTTGTCATCAAATTACAGAACCCAAATGCTGCCATCCCAGACTGTGACAGAGCTATTGAAATAAATCCCGATTCAGCTCAACCTTACAGGGGGGCGAGGGAAAGTGCACAGACTTCTGGGCCACTGGGAAGAAGCAGCACATGATCTTGCCTTTGCTGGTGAACTGGGTTATGATGAAGGTGCTGACACATGCTGGAAGAAGTTCAGCCGAGGACCAGAAAATTGCCAAACATCAGAGAAAGTATGAGTGAGAAAGTGTAGAATGAAAGATCAAAGAAAGAATAGAAAGGGTTAAGAAGGTTTGGGAAGAATATGAGGAACCTCAGAGGGAGGAAGAAGCCAGATGTTGATCAGGAGCCTAGACTAACTCTTTTCTAGGTGTCTTTCTCGTGGGAATATGTGGGCAGGCCTGAAATGGAAGGGATGCCGGGGCTCGGTGAAATTCTTAGTGACCCAAAGGTCCTTGCAGCCACTCAAGATCCAGAAGTTATGGTGGCCTTCTGGGATGTGGCCTAGAACCCAGTAAATGTGGCAAATATCAGAGCAACCCAAAAGTAATGAATCTTGTCAGTAAATTGTCAAATTTGGAGGTCAAGCATAATGCCGTTCAGATAAATAAAACCCTTGCTGAAGGAAAAACAACTTAGATCACATGATGGATGTCATAGTAATACAGGGTACCTCTGACCTCATGGAGAGAATGTTGGGGTGCTGGGAAGAGAGTCCCTACCCCTTAGCCCCATGTGCAACCCAGACATTTTGTAGTGGTTTGCCATTGGGTATTCATTCACATCATGTTTTCCTACCAGGAATTCCTACTAGGAATTTTAAACCTTAAAAATATTTAAAAATAAGTTAAAAAGGTGTGTTAATCCCTTAAAAAAAAAAAAAGATGAAAACGTTATTCCACAGGCCCACGTGATGGATTAGGGCATGATGCAGATAATGCTTTTGCGTCGAACGTATATTGCCTTTCTAGCTTTAAAAAAAAAAAAAAATCAAGGAAATAAACCTCGTTTTGGAGGAAAAGATGTAGAGTGGCAGTAATGGTTTGTGTGAGTCTGTAGTATAGTTTATATACCTCCTCATTCTCTTTTCTTCCAGGAGTTCCTCATGGGAGTTGTGTTGCCCTCTGGGGAAAGGATAGAAGGCGGTTTTGTTTGTACCAGTGATTGCAGATGTTGTAGGGTAGATGAGGGCCAGTCAAGAAGGCTAATGAGCTTAATTGTAGTGAAGGTACAGTTCTGTGTAAGAAATATTTTTTTTCACTCAAAATGGTTATATCAATACTTCTGATAAGGAGGTATGGAATTTCCTAGAATAATTTGGGAAGTGTGTAGTTTGTTTTTTTTTTAAAGACTTTAAAAAAATTTATTTATTTATTTGACAGAGATCACAAGTAGGTAGAGAGGCAGGCTGAGACAGGGGAAGCAGGCTCCCTGCTGAGCAGAGAGCCCGATGTGGGGCTCCATCCCAGGACCCTGAGATCATGACCTGAGCCGAAGGCAGAGGCTTTAACCCACTGAGCCACTCAGGCGCCCTAGTTTTTGTTCAAAGTATTTTATATTTACAGGTTAGTTAAATTATGAGTTGTAAATAGTTTATTACTTTGTGACTGGGCTAGACCTTTAAGTTAGATAATTTCTTACTCTTTTTTTTTTTTTAGGACATGTTCCAGAGATCCAACACAGGCCATTGCCAACAGATTGAAAGAAATGTATGAAATATATTCTCAGCATTGCCAGCCAGATGAGGATTTCAGTAGTTCTAAAGGTAAGGCTCATACTGTCCATCTTGTTCTCATCTTTGAAGTTTAACTACATGGAGTCGTTCCCTGGTAAGTGAATCAGAAATCGAAGAATAGATTTAGGACTTCAGATTGATGGCTACAATATGGATGTCCAACTTTTCTATTAACCAGGTGGTTTCTGGGCCCTTCTCCATACGATAAAATGTAGACTGATAATCTGGTACTTTGTTGGCAAAATCTTTAGTTCCATTTGTAGACTGGATATTATTAGGTTTAGAAGTGTAGTGATTCTTCAAAATATGAAGAATAAGTTCAGAAGATAGACCTGTTCCATGCCCAGACCTGCCCTAGAAGTTATCTGATGTCATGAAGTAGAACCAGGTATGAGTGGAATAGTAAACCAGTTATATATACCTCTTAGCATAGAGCTGTTCAGTTTAAACTTAACATCAACAACAAAAAAGTGTGACTCTTAATGGAATGCTGTTACAGTTTTTAAGTGGAAATTTTATTTCACAGGGACACCTGGGTGGCTCAGTTGGTTAAGTGTCTGCCTTTGGCCCAGGTCATGATCCCAGGGTCCTGAGCTCTGAGCTCCCTGCTCAGCATCTGCTGCTTCTCCTCTCTCTCTCTGCTTCTCCCCCTGCTTGTGCTCACTCCCTCTCTCTCTCACTGTCAAATAAATAAATAAAGTCTTTTTTTTTTTAATTAATTTCACAGTTTTAGAAAAATGTTAGTGTTACTGTGGTTACCATGAAGAAAAGTAAGAAGTCCTAGGAATGATTGGAACAGCAGCTGTAGGAAGTGCATATATATGAAGTTACTGGTTGGTTTTTAAATTTTATTTTGTGGGCAGCGAATGGAGTAGACTCTCACTTTCTACAATGTGTTCTTTGCATGTGACTTTTATTTTTTATTTATGCAGAAATTGCCAGCAAACATTTTCGTTTTGCAGAGATGCTTTACTATAAAGTACTAGAATCTGTTATTGAACAGGAACAGAAAAGACTGGGAGACATGGATTTATCTGTGAGTAAATCACCAATGCATTGGTCAACATAATAAAAATGTAGTTTCCTTTCAGCCCTACTCGTACAAAACCTAGACTAAACTAAACAAAGATAAAGCCATAGCTTTGAGGGAGTAAGATTGGCAGCTGAGGAAACTCGTGTCTTGAGTGTCTTTGCCTCCGGTCCCCACTTACTGTTCTCAGTGTGGCAGGCTGTGTACTAGAACTCATGGCTTCTGTGGGCAGTAAGATTCCATAGTCAAAGACTGAATCATTCAGACTTAAGGTAAATTGAGTTTTTAGGGTGCATGAACTTGTTAACCAGCACATTCCCCAAACAAACCTTGCACAGCAAGAGTAAGTTGAGCATTGACTAGATAGGACTTTAACATAAATATTCAGCCATTGCTCTTTGACTAAGAAATTTTTTTTTTCCAGATTTTACTAGTTAAGAAATATAAATTGGTTTTGAAATAAGTAGTATTTGCTTTTAATGACATCAATAAAAATGATTTTTAAAAACTATTTTTTAAAATAACATTTTAGAGAAAATTATAAAGCTGACCAATAATTGTTCTAATTTCTTCTATTTACTTTTATTTTTGTACATGAAATTATGGCTGTGGGAATTTAAAAAGCTGTTAGACAAATTTTTAAATTTTGAGACACATACTGAAGGGTGTATAAAACAGCTGCAGTTTAGGGGCTGATAAGAAGAGGATACCTTTATACCCACTTCAAAAACTTATAAAACAACTTTTTATCGTAGTGAAATATATATAACATAAAATTTACCATTTTAAGCATTATTGAGTGTACAGTTCAGTGGCATTAAGTACATTCACAGTGATGCCCAACCCTCACCAGCCATCTTCAGAAATTTTTCATCATCCCCAACTGAAAGTCTATGCCCATTAAGCAGTGACTCCCCATTCTCACCTCCCTCGAGCTCCTGGTAATCTCTACTTTCTGTTTCTACAGATTAACCTGTTCTAGGTATAATACAATATTCTTTTGTGTCTCGTGTATTTCACTTGGCGTGACGTGTTCAAGGTTCATCCATGTTTTAGCATGTCAGAATTTCCTTTTCAAGGCTGAACAGTATTCAGAATATTATTCATAATCAATATATAATTGTTTGCCTTTTTTTGGTCAAGTTGTAGGAGTTACGTATTCTGGATATTAATCCCTTATATATGATTTACAAACATTTTCTCCCATTCTGTGGGTTGTCTTTATTTCATTGATAGTGTCCTTTGATAGACAAAAGGTTTTAATTTTGATGAAGCCCAATTTATTTTTTTTCTCCTGTTTCCTGTGTTTTTGGTGTCTAAGTAACTTTTTAATTCAAAAATAGTAAATGTTTATGTACAGATTTGGAAAATTAATAACCAAGAAGAAAGGGGGGGGTGTAATTATGTCTCCTGAGAGAAGTAAGTTCACTTGTGGCCCGTGACCATCTAGCTAGTCACCTGCTTTCCAGCTGTCTTTCTCTGACAGTGGCCTCTAACTGTAGATACCATTTTGTAACCTCTTTCCACATTATTATTTCCCTAAGCAGCAGAGTGTCTGTATATTTTTGTTAGGGATATAATATTTTATCAGCTATGTTTCATAATATGTAAGGTTTTTGAAAGTTCTTACACATTTTTTTAATATTTGTTTTGCTAAAACATGGGCTTATTTATCAAGCTAAGAAAAATTCTATAAGAAAGTAAGCACATACTTCTCACTACCTCAGAAAATAAGACTTCCTTTGATATTTTTATTTAACTCTACTGGGTAGGAAATGTCTTTGTTAGAGTAGGCTAATGTTTCTAAATGTTAATAACTTTGTTTTATAGGGCATTCTGGAGCAAGATGCATTCCATAGATCGCTTTTGGCCTGCTGTCTTGAGGTCGTTACTTTTTCTTACAAGCCTCCTGGGAATTTTCCATTTATTACTGAAATATTTGATGTGCCACTTTATCATTTTTATAAGGTATTTTAAAAAATCTGTTACTGATGAGGAAATTGTAGATGCGACCATCTTCCTATTGTTAGCTGGATAATTCATTCTGCTACCTAAGTACATCTCTTCTCTTTTTAATTATATATTTAATAGTTTTTACTCTATCTGGGGAGAAGAAATAAAAGAGTCCTAAGAACTATTTAAATTCTTCTCAAACAGTATAAAGGCCAATTTATGGTAAAAGCTTTATTTGATTCTTCCTTTTATCTGGTATAGACCTTTAGGATACTTTGATTTTATTGTCTAGGAAGCCTTTCAAAAAAAGTAGCAAACAAACCAGTAGCTAATCCTATATAGCAACCTTTTAAAGTTTTTTATTTTAATTAATTAAGTAGGCTCCACACCCAGTGCGGAGCCCAACTCCAGGCTTGAAATCATGACCCTGAGATCAAGACCTGAGCTTAAAATCAAGAGACCTGACTGAACCACTCAGGTGCCCCAACCTTTCTTTACTTTATGGAAATAACATTGAACGTCTTTCAGAAGAAAAATGTTCTCTTTCCCATGTTATGTAGAAGTGCAGAGTGATGGCATTGATTTGGTAATTATTTCTGTCTTGATAGAGATTTAGTGTATGGGTTTATCTTAATTATAATATAGTAGTCAAAATCAATGTTTTTTAGTGGCATGGATTGAATGTTTAGAATTTTTGTTTATTTATTTACTTATTGATGTATTTATTATTTAAGTAATCTCTAAACCCAACATGGGGCTTGAACTCAAAGTCCTAAGAGTAAGAGTCAGATGCTTTACGAACTAAGGAGCCAGGTGCCCCTAGAGTTTTTATTTTATTTTATTTTTTTTTAAGATTTTATTTATTTATTTATTTGACAGAGAGAGAGGTAGAGATCGCAAGTAGGCAGAGAGGCAGGCAGAGAGAGAGGAGGAAGCAGGCTCCCTGCTGAGCAGAGAGCCCGATGCGGGCCTCGATCCCAGGACCCTGAGATCATGACCTGGGCCGAAGGCAGAGGCTTAACCCACCGAGCCACCCAGGCGCCCAGCCCCTAGAGTTTTTAAATGGGAAATTTTAAGAGTAATATTTTTCAACTTAATAGAAAAGGCATCTTTATTCTTTGAAAAATGTTTAAAATACGCCATTAGAAGATTTTCTATAATTCCTACATGAATTTTAAATAATTATTTATAAAGACAGTGAAGGGAAGACCAACTGTTTCAAAATAGTATTGTTATTTAGATTTGTAATTTCTGATTAATTATCTGTTTTATCTATAAATATGTAAAAAACCAAAATGTACCCATTTTGCTTCGCACTAAGTTTTTGGTGACAAAAATAATTATTGAAGCAGGGCATTTTTTAATTTCAGGTGATAGAAGTATTCATTAGAGCAGAAGATGGTCTTTGTAGAGAGGTGGTAAAACACCTTAATCAGATTGAAGAACAGATCTTGGATCATTTGGCATGGAAACCAGAGTCTCCACTCTGGGACAGAATTAGAGACAATGAAAATAGAGTTCCTACTTGTGAAGAGGTTTGTGAAAATACCTTAACATCTCTCTGTAACAAAAGTACATTAGTAACTAGTCAGTTTATATTGTTTCACTGAGAGCAGTTAAACTTGGTGTTTTCATTATGGGAAGTGGGAGGGTGGCAGCCGGGTTTAATATGGTACAGTCACCCCTGTATCTGAGAAAAAACCCGTAAGTCCAGGAGTCAGAAATAATGGGTGATTTCTCTAAGGTTTCAGTGCCAGAGTAAGAATTCAGTGTTCTCTCTTAATTTTTAGTACAATTTCTGTACCTTAGAATGGTTGTATTCTGATTCTCTAAATCAGTAATGAAGGCTGATTCATATTTCGTATTCAGCTATTAGCTTTGAATTTTTTAAGCCTGCCAGACTTTTTTTTCAACTTCAGTATGAAACTAGAGAAGACCGCTGATTTCATTTAGGTCGAGTAACTGGTGAGCAGGTTTTGTTTTGCCTTAGATTGTGGCTGTATTTCTAATGAAAATGCCTTTTCGAATAATGACACTCTGTATATATCATTCTTTATAGGTTATGCCACCTCAGAATCTGGAAAGAGCCGGTGATATTTGTATTGCTGGCTCTCCTTTGACTCCCAGAAGGGTGACTGAAGTTCGTGCTGATACTGGAGGACTTGGAAGAAGTAAGTTTAAAGTACCAGAGGGAATATTTGGGAGCCTAATATCTGGGAATTGAAACTCTGTCTAAAACTACAAGTGAAGTTAATGGAGTTTATATAGAAGAAATATTTTGTGCGTTATAGTACCATATGGATCACTTAAAAGTAATGCTTTTGAAGAATATTTAAGAACACAGGAAGAGGCATGTAGTAACAGGTGACTATAAAAAGAGAATGCTGTATATTAATGTGATTCTTATATTTGAAGTGTGTGTTTATATATAAGCATATAGAGGAGCTGAAATGGGAAAACCGAACTATTAAGAACAATTATTATTGGATGATAGAATTCCTGGTGCTTTCTGTAAATTTTTTTTTTTTTAAGGTTTTATTTATTTATTTGGCAGAGAGAGACACAGCGAGAGAGGGAACACAGGCAGGGGGAGTGGGAGAGGGAGAAGTGGGCTTGCCACTGAGCAGGGAGCCCCACGTGGGGCTCAATCTCAGGACCCTGAGATCATGACCTGAGCAGAAGGCAGAGGCTTAACGACTAAGCCACCCAGGGGCCCCTGCTTTCTGTAAAATTTTTAAGATGAGTATGTATTTCTTCTAAAATCAGAAGAGGGACACCTGGGTAGCTCAGTGGGTTAAGCCTCTGCCTTCAGCTCAAGTCATGATTTCAGGATCCTGGGGTCGAGCCCTGCATCGGGCTCTCTGCTCAGTGGGGAGTCTGCTTCCTCCTCTCTCTCTGCCTGCCTCTCTGCCTACTTGTGATCTCTCTCTCTGTCAAATAAATAAAAAATCCTTAAAAAAAAAAAAATCAGAAGAGGGACACCTGGGTGGCTCAGTTAGTTGAACGTCCGACTCTTGATTTCACCTCAGGTCATGATGTTGGGGTTGTGGGATTGAGCTCCAAGTTTGTCTTCATGCTTGGCACAGAGTCTGCTTGAGTTTCTCCCCCTCCGCTCCTCCCCCTGCTCTCTCAAATAAATAAATCTTAAAAAAAAAAAAAAACAACAACAACTCAGGGAGTGCCTGGGTGGCTTAGTGGGTTAAGCCTCTGCCTTTGGCTCAGGTCATGATCCTGGGTCCTGGGATCGAGCCCCACATCGGGCTCTCTGCTCAGCGGGGAGCCTGCTTCCTCTCTTTCTGCCTTCTCTCTGCCTACTTGTCATCTGTCAAATAAATAAAATCTTTAAAAAAAAAACCTCAGAACAGGGTTTTTTTGGTTCCATTTGTCACCATACAGTACTTCCATTAGTTCTTGATGTAGTGTTCCGTGATTCATTACTTGCATATAACACCCATTGCTCCATGCAATCTGTGCCGTCCTTGATACCGACCGCCGGCCTGTAGAGCTGTCTGATGCAGTTAGATGTAGACAAGTGAGTTAAAAGTGGTGAATGGCCAGAGCAAGTTCAGCTTTGACTCTTGGCAGTCGAGCTGTGCTATACTGGTCAATAGGACAGTAGTGCTGGCCCAAGAAATAGAGAAAAGAGAAGCTTCGCTATTCATCGGATTATATTTAGGCGGCTTTTTAAAAAAAGTAACTTCTATGCCCATGATGGGGCTCGAACTCAGAACCCCAAGATCAAGAGTCGCATGCTGTATGGGCTGAGCCAGCCGGGCGCCCCTTCAGGCAGCTCTCTGGAATGTCTTCCAGGCGCAGGGTTTAAGTGTACACAGCTGAGACAGAACTGCTTTTTAATAAGCGATGCTGTAAATTCAGAGAGTTCTAAATCTTTGGATGCCATTAGAAGGATATTGTTTCTAGATCAGCCTTTTGATGTAATCGATAAGCACTGGCTATAGACGGAAGATCAGTTTTAAAATCAGGAATCACTTCATGTCCGTGCATACTCAATAAGTATGGATGAACTATATGAAAATGTCCTCATTTTTTGGAAGAGGTATATTGGCTTTGCTGTTTTCCTGCTTTTATCTGCTTCAGACCCACAGATCTGACAGTTGGTCTTCCTCAGTCCTGTTTCTGTAGTTTCTTCCTTCCCTAGTCTATGGATTAGGACCTGACTTTCAGCTTTATTTTCTTTGTACTCATCACTTTTCCAATTTCAAGGTCTCTTAATGCCTTACAAGATAATCATCAGTCATAATGCATTCTTTCTGACTGCAGCTTTGTTCCAAATACAAAGCTAGTGAGTTTATTGGCTTTTGTACCATTGAGAAATTGAAATGTTAAGCTATCAGCTGTCAGGACTTTAGTACTATTGAGAAATTGAAACGTTAAGCTATAGGCTGTCAGGACTATTCCTATCAATCCCCTTATGACCTCCCTACATACATTTTAAAACTTAAATAACCTACCGATGTGCTGTTGGACATGCTGCTTGAAAATTCAGTCCTTGATGTGAATATTTAACAACAGACCGTGCCATGATGGTTACAGAATTTGCTTCTATTTAGGATGATGAAGTTTTGGAAATAGTGGTGACGATTGCACAAAATTGTGAGTGGAATTAATGCCACTAAATAGTACACACAAAAATGGTTAAAATGGCAAATTCCATGTTATATATATATTTATATTAAAGAAACTAATAACATAATACACCCAAAAGCATTGAATAGTACAATTTAAATGATTAAAATGTATGTGAATTATATCTCAATAAAGTTGTTTAAAAAATATAATAAAGTTTAAAAAATATAATAAACTAAGCTTAATTGAGTCCAAAACACATAATATCCAATCTTGCTGAAGAACATTACTGCGCTTTAGTAATTTTCTGTGTGTGGAAAAAAGATAAAGATGAAAACTAATAAAACTGGGGTAAAATGCTCCCAGATGATGTCATAGTAATATCAAGTCCCCTTGAGTAGTGGCTTTACGGTGAAATCACATCATACATGAGTGAATATGGTCAGAAATACAGGAAAATAGAATAATTCTTTAAATTGCCCCTAAGTCAGGGGCGCCTGGGTGGCTCAGTGGGTTAAGCCGCTGCCTTCGGCTCAGGTCATGATCTCAGGGTCCTGGGATCGAGTCCCGCATTGGGCTCTGCTCAGCAGGGAGCCTGCTTCCCTCTCTCTCTCTCTCTCTCTCTGCCTGCCTCTCCATCTACTTGTGATCTCTCTCTGTCAAATAAATAAAATCTTTAAAAAAAAAAAATTGCCCCTAAGTCATCAAGGTTCTGTAGCAACAGAACGTAGAGTTTGGTTTGATTTAGCAGAAGCTGGAATAAAGTAGGGAGCATTGTGCAACAAATAGAGAAATTTTCCTGTGTTTAAATTTTGCTCTTAATGATGTCTGGTTGAATTTTCATTAGCTGACTATAGGTGTGATATGACCCCTGTTTTGTTTATGAAGTATTTCAGACACTAGTTTTGAACATAAGAGCTTGGATTCAGAAGTTAGATCTGAGTTTTCTTGAGTTAAACCGTTGGTTTGATGGGTTTTTGTTTTTTTGTTTTTAACTGTAGGCATAACATCTCCAGCCACATTATATGACAGATACAGCTCCCCAACAGCCAGCTCTACCAGAAGGCGTCTATTCGTTGAGAACGATAGCCCCTCTGATGGAGGGACACCTGGGCGCATTCCCCCCCAACCCCTAGTCAATGCTGTCCCTGTGCAGAATGTATCTGGGGATGCCGTTTCTGTCACACCAGTTCCTGGACAGACTTTGGTCACCATGGCAACAGCCACTGTCACGGCCAACAATGGACAAACAGTGACCATTCCTGTACAAGGTAAGGAAGGCAGGTTGGATATTGAGTTCTTTCTTGGTGGCATTTATGGAAAGTCACCTGAGATTTGGCTGGAATGACAACATGAGATAAGAGTGGAGCAGGGGAAGGAGGCTGGGAGGGGAGAAATTGGAAACCCATGCCTAGAGAGCCTTTCATCGTCCTCATTTTCTCCCTAACAAACTGTAGGTATTGCGAATGAAAATGGAGGGATAACATTCTTCCCAGTCCAGGTCAACGTGGGAGGGCAGGCACAAGCTGTGACTGGCTCCATCCAGCCCCTGAGTGCTCAGGCCCTGGCTGGAAGTTTGAGCTCTCAACAGGTGACAGGAGCAACGTTGCAAGTCCCTGGTCAGGTGGCCATTCAACAGATTTCCCCAGGTGGACACCAGCAGAAACAAGGCCCACCTTCAACTGGCAGCAGTATTAGACCAAGGAAGACCAGCTCTTTATCTCTTTTCTTTAGAAAGGTAATTTTTCATGTACCCTTGCCAGAGCAGAAGCTTAGGAAATACAAGTGTTAGGTAAACAAAATTGAAAATGTTTTTCTCTACCAGGTTTACCACTTGGCAGGTGTCCGCCTTCGGGATCTTTGTGCTAAACTGGATATTTCAGATGAACTGAGGAAAAAAATCTGGACCTGTTTTGAATTCTCCATAATTCAGTGTCCTGAACTTATGATGGACCGACATCTGGACCAGTTGTTGATGTGTGCCATTTATGTGATGGCAAAGGTAAGCACCATTTGGAATATAAAAGGAAAAAGTAAAGATACTAGCTCAGAACACTTTTAACAGTTTTATTGAGATACAATCACTTCATTCATTCATTCATTTTTAAGTAGGCCCCACACCCAGCATGGAGCCCAGCGTGGGGCTTGAACTCACAACCCTGAGGTCCAAAAACCCGAGCTGAGATCAAGAGTTGGGACACTTAACCAACTGAGCCACCCAAACACCCCTTAACTCACTCACTTAAAATGTACACCTCCTTGGATTTTAGTACATTTACAGATAACGTGCACCCATCACCACAGTAAATTTTAGAACATAATACTCCATTGTAGGAGTATATGGTATTTTGTTTATCCATCAGTTGATGGTCATCTGGGTATTTTAACTTTTCGGCTATTATGAATAATGCTTTCGTGAACATTTGTGTACAAGTTTTTGTGTGGACATGTTTTCATTTCTCTTTGATATGTACCTATGAGTGGATTGCTAGCTAGGTCATATACTGTGTTTAACCATTTGAGGAACACCCAGACTGCTTTTGCAAAGTCCCTGCACCATTTTGTATCTCAACCATTAATATATGAAGGTCTTCATTTTTCTACCTTTATTTCAGTGCTTTATTTCATCAGCACTTTTTCTTTTAAGATTTTATTTATTCATTCAACAGAGAGCACAAGCAGGGGCAGTGGCAGGGAGAGGGAGAAGCAGGCTGCCCCCCTAAGGAAGGAACCTGGTGGGGGGCTTGATCCCAGGACTCTGGGATCATGGCCTGAGCCAAAGGCAGATACTTAATTGACTGAGCCACCCAGGAGCCCCTCTCATCAGCACTTTTTTATTATTAGACATTGTTTTCTAAAATAACTTACTGAGGTGAAATTCACATAACATAAATGAGCCATTTTTATTATTTTTTTTTAAGATTTTTTTTTATTTATTCGACAGAGATCACACGTAGGCAGAGAAGCAGGCAGAGAGAGAGAGAGGAGGAAGCAGGCTCCCCACAGAGCAGAGAGCCCGATGTGGGGCTCGATCCCAGGACCCTGGGATCATGACCTGAGCCGAAGGCAGAGGCCTTAACCCACTGAGCCACCCAGGCGCCCCAATGAGCCATTTTTAAATGAACAATTCAGTGGCGTTTGGTACATTCCCAGTATTATACACCTAATCTTTATCTTGTTCCAAAACATTTCCATCCCTGCAGAGTAAAACTACTTATTAAGTAGGTTATTGTTCCTCCTCCCACTGGCTCCTGGCACCCACCATTCTCCTTTCTGTCTCCATGAATTTGACTGTACCAGGTGCCTCTAGGAGTCATACAGTTTTTGTCTTTTTATGATTGGTTTATTTCAGTTAGTATAATGTCCTCAAGATTTATCCGTGTTGTAGCATGAGTTGTAATTTTGTTCCTTTGCAAGCCTGATTAAAATACCACATTTTGTTTATCCATTCATCCACTGATGTCCACTTGGGTGGCTGGCACTTTTTAGCTATTGTGAATAATGTACTATGAACATGAGTGTATGCATATCTCTTCAAGTTTTTAGTTTCATTCTTTTGTTTATATACTCAAAAGTGGAATTGCTGGGTCATACGGTAATTCTGTGCTTAATTGTTGGAGAAATTTGCCATATTTTTCAGAGCAGCTACACCATTTTATATTCCCACCAGCAGTGCATGAGAGTTCTAAATCCTCTACATCCTTGCCAGCTTCTTTTCTCTTTGATACATTCTGGTGGTTTTGACATATATTTCCTGAATGACTAATGATGTTGAGTGTCTTTTATTGTACCTATTGGCTGTTTTTTGAGTTTTTGCTTCTAGCCATCCCAATCATTTGTATACCGGTCATTTGTATATCTTCTTTGGTGAAATACTGGTTTAAATTCTTTGCCCATTTTTGATTTGGATGGTTCGTGCTTTTTTGTGATTGAGCCATAGTTCTTTATATGTTCTGGGTGCAGCTCTCTCACCAGGTGTTTGCAAATATTTTCTGTTTTTGCATTTCTTGATGTTATTGTGTTATTTGAAGCATAGTAATTTTTAATTTTGATTAAGTCCGTTTATTCTTTTGTTTGTACTTTTGCTCTCGTATCTTAAGAATACATTGCCAAATCCAAGGTCATGAATATTTGTTTTCTTCTAAAAGTTTTATAGTTTTAGGTCTTAACATTTAGGTCTGTGATCCATTTTGAGTAATTTTTATTCATGGAGGTAGGAGTCCAACTTCATTCTTTCACAGGAGGCTATCCCGTTGTTTTTATTAGGTAGTGAGAATATTTAAGGATCAACTCTCTTAGCAACTTCCCAGTATATAATATTGTTAACTGTAGTCCCCATGCTAGATACTCGATCCCTAGAACCTACTCATAACTGGCGATTCTTTGACCAGAATCGCCCCAGTTTTCCCACCCCAACATACCCATCTTAATGTATTAAAATCAGCTTCAGATTTATACTTAATTCCAGTGAGGAAAAATAAGTGTCCTGTGTAGCTGTTTCCTTTTAATCTTTTGAGATGTATTGTGATACGTATTACATCCATAAGTGTTATAAATCCAACAACTGCATTGTTATTTGTAATTCTATGACTTCCAAAGGAGCTGAGAGAAAAATATAATGTATAGCTTTTGTTTCATTAATCTTGTTTATCATTTCTGATTCTCTTCATTGATTCCTGTGGTTTTGAGTTGTCATCTGGAGTCATTTCCTTAGCCCAGTACAGCATTCCTCCTCTTCCTGTGCTGTTTTTGGCAAACATACCACATTTCTGTACGTTTCAGGCCCAATAACACATTATATATATATGTGTGTGTGTGTATACATATATATATGTGTATATATATAGTTTTATACAGTGGCTTTTTAAATCAGTGAAGGAGAAATAAATATGCATTTTATGCTATCTTTACAGTTACATAATCGTCTTTACCAGGGCCTTTTTTTTTTTAATGTGTATTTGAATTACTGGGGTCATTTGCTTTTAGTTTGAACTTCTGGTATTTCTTGTAAGATTGGTCTTTTAGCAGCAAATTGTTTTTATTTGTATTTATTTTCCATTTTTGAATGATAACTTTGTTGGACACAAATTCTTAGTTTTTTACTTTGAGCACTTTGAATATGTTGTTCCACTGCCTCTTAGGTTCAGTCGTTTCTGATGAGAAGTTGCCTCTTATTTTACTGGGCTTCTGTGGATGTTGTCAAGATTTTCTCCCTTTCTTTGGCTCTCAGCATTTTTACTATGTCTGGGTATGCTCTCTTTGCATTTATTTTATACTTGGAATTCTTAGCGCTTCCTGGATGTGTGGGTTACTATTTTTTAAATAAACTTGGGAAGATTTCAGCCTTTTTTTTTTTTTTCCTGCTTCTCTCTGTGCTGAATGATGTTCACAGATCCCCTGAAGCTCTGTTAATTTTTCTTCATTCCTTTTTCTGTGTTCTTCAAGTTCCACAGTCTATTCCAAGTTGGCTAATTCATTTTTTCTTTGCCCTTTTAGATCTCTTTTGTCCTTTTGGTGAATTTTTCATTTGGTAACTGTACTTTTTTATTACAGATCTGTGTTCAGATACCACCCACTCCCTCTTGTTGCTGGATTTTAGTATGTTTTCTTGAATAGATTGTTCATTTTGTATATGTCCTTAGGACCATTTCCAGAGACTTGAAATGCCTGTTTATATAATTGTCACCAGTTTCACTGGGGAGTAGGTTCACAGAGCCCTTTAAAATATTTTGAAGTCCATTTCTCTTTCAGAATACTCTTATTCTTTGCCAGGTCACAAAAGAAGACAAGTCCTTCCAGAATATTATGCGTTGTTATAGGACTCAGCCACAGGCCCGGAGCCAGGTAATTACATTTCCTCTCAGGGCTGAAAATAAAGCTTAAAGTCTTTGATAAATATAAAAAATTAACCACAGTTGATTCTGTGGCCTTTTCTCCAAGATAAAAGCTAAGATTCTACTTTAAGGAAGTCTTTTTTTTAATCTGACAACTTTACATCTTGATTAGTTTAAGTCCTCTTTTCTCCCAAAAGGTGAGGAGGTGGAGGTGAAATTTTTTATTCTTTCTTAATCACAAGGGAGAATTTAGCAAGTTATTTGGTTTCTGTGTCACCTTTAGAAAACAATACATTTAACGAAGACAACATTAAAGGAAAATTTAAAACTCATTTTATCTTTAATACTATTCATTTATCTCAAGGGGTAGGTATGTAATATCTTTGATTAAGAATAGCTTGATTTTATGGTTGGGTGCTAGTATTGCCCTTTATATTACAGTATTATAGGCCATATTTGGAATTTGAAGCCCGACAGGCCCCAGTGTAAATCCTGGCTCTGTTATTTAACAGATAAATGACCTTGGCTGCATCTATTAACTTCCCTGAGGACAACAACTGTTACTACATGGAGCCACTGTGAGAATTTAGTTACATGTCAAGGTCATTTAGTCGAAGATGTGCTCAACAAATCTGTCCCTTTCTCGTGGTCTCTCTAAAGGTGTACAGAAGTGTTCTGATCAAAGGAAAAAGGAAAAGAAGAAATTCTGGCAGCAGCGATAGCCGAAGCCATCAGAACTCTCCAGCAGAACTAAACAAAGACCGAAGTAAGTGTTTAGGGTCTTCATGAACACTAAGAAAACAAAATTAGGAGCTTCTCACTTTTTAGGCCTAAGGATTACTAAATGAAATTACAACTATATTAAAATATTGGCAAAAGATCTGTTGGAACAATAAAAATCGTAAATTTGGTGGCAAAGTTGTCCTTCCTCCCATAGCTTCGAGGCACACTGTGCATAGCATTTTTCTCCAGGGAAATTAGAGAAGGTTTCAGGCAGGAATTTGTTGGCCTGAGTTCCAGAAAAGTCTGGCATGCCAGCTGAAGCCATGCTATGGAAATACCACCACTAATGGTTGATTTGCATCACTTCATGCAGGGCACAGGTCCTAGAAAATGTGGTATAACTTCTTAGAACTACTCAGTAAGCCTTTGCATGGCAGGGGGTAAAGTTAATACATATTAGTGTCTGTGCTCTGCTCCCTGGGATTAAGAAGAGAGTGTCCACGTACAGCAGGTAGCTGTTCGCCTTTCTCTCACTGAACTTTCCTTTAAAAAACAGTCTGCACTAGTGGGCTTTCTGCTTAACACCCTCTGTTCTACCTGCTGCAGCCAGCAGAGACTCCAGCCCCGTCATGAGGTCCAACAGCACCTTGCCGGTTCCACAGCCTAGCAGTGCCCCTCCTACACCCACTCGTCTCACCGGGGCCAACAGTGATATGGAAGAGGAGGAGAGGGGAGACCTCATTCAGTTCTACAACAATATCTACATAAAGCAGATTAAAACATTTGCCATGAAGTACTCACAGGCAAACGTAGTAAGTTTGACAGGGATTATTTCATACTCTTTTCACCTGTGAGGGAGGGGAAATAGGTTGGGCTAGTCTTAGAAATCATTCTTTTGTTAAATAAAACTGAGGAAATCTCTTAGAGACATAATATGCCTAGCCAACAGAATTCCTTTTTATCGTGAAGCATTAAAAAAGATGGTATTTGGATTCCCTACAAATTACTGTAACACGAGAGAGCATGCATTCACATTGTCCCAAACTTACCAGCTACGGTAACCTTCCAAGTTACTTAACTTTCTCTCTGCCTCTCGTCTCTTCGTTTATCAAAGGGGAATAGGAGTCAACTCTAGCTTATAGGGTTGCTGTGGAGATTCAATGCCAGAATGGATTAAAAATGCTTAGAACAGTGACTGGCATAAAAATAAGCACTTAAGCATTACTTGTTCTTTAAGTGTAATTGTGCTGCTAATGCATTACTCTTCAAAAAGCTACGGGTTTATTATACCTCACCGCTCTGTCAATAAAAACTATTTTCATAAAAAAAAATACCTGGTTAGAAATTGTTACCTTTCTTAGGAATATGGATTTTTTAATTTATTTATTTTTTTTTTAAACAGATGGATGCTCCTCCACTCTCTCCCTATCCATTTGTAAGGACAGGTTCTCCTCGCCGGATACAGCTGTCTCAGAATCATCCGGTCTACATTTCTCCACATAAAAATGAAACAGTGCTTTCTCCTCGAGAAAAGATTTTCTACTACTTCAGCAACAGTCCTTCAAAGGTGAGCCCAATATAAATCTTGGCCTTTATTAACCCCAGAATGCCTAGGATGCTGGAATTGGGGTTAATGGGAAATGCCCAGTACTCACCTCAGTGATGGGAACTACCAGGGGAAAGTGACCAGTAAGTTCCAGTGGAACAAAATACAGGGGTTGGTGGGAGAACTTTAAGGCTGGAAATAGAGTAAAGGATTTAGATTTATTTTCATTCCTTTTCCTATTTGTGCATATATAGTTCACTCTGCTGTAAATCTGGAGTTTTATGGTTTTTACACCATTTAAAATGCAAATTTTCCTAACAAAATTTGGATTTCTAAACTGATTATGGATTGTCTGTTTCTGGGACAGGTAGTGTCTCCGTCCTTTTGGATTCTTTGTCTAAGGAGAGAAACGGCAATTTGTACAGGGCAGTGGGACAGTCGTATTTAGGAGAGATTGGTGTGGCAGCGTCTGCCTCCATCTGTGGTGGGGAGGGAATTCTGCATCAGGCCTTAACAGAAGAAAAGTTAGCAAGATGCTGAGGTTGGAAGGAAGGGGGATATCCAGGAAGCACCAGAAAAGTAAAGAAGAAAATGTCCTTGAAGCAGTAAGGCTAGATCACTGGGAATCATGTGCTGCATTTAGGAGCACAACTTGATCCTAAAGCCCCTTATGGGATGCTTGTATGCATAAAGATTGCTTAGAAAAACATAGAACAACTAAAAATAACATTATCTGTGAAGCACAAAAGAGGAAAGTATGCCTGTGTTAGACACTCACCCTACAACCAGCTAAATTCTGGATTAAATAAGAGTTAAATGGAAAAAATGAATACTCAGTAATACAAGTCAGTAATACAAGACTCTTCAAAAACAAATCAATGTCAGCAGTATCATGAAGGAGAGGTTAGATGGGGAGGGAACTAGAGAGAGAGGACACCCAAATGCAGTGCATGATCTCGCACTGCATCCTACACAGAAAAACACAGCTTTCAAGGACATTTTTGGGACGAGTGGGAAAATGTAATGGGGACTTCAATGTTAAATTTTATCTTTAAATTTCTGTTTAATTCCTTTGGTATTTATGATAGTACTAGATTATGTAGGAGAATATGTTTAAAGTATTCAGAGGTACAATGTCCCAGTGTGAATAACTGACTTTCAAATGGTTCAACTAAAAAGAAAATTACATAGAGAACACATGTGGTAAAATGTTACTGACTGATAACTGGGTGTTCAATGCACTATTCTTCCAACTTTTCTTTTAAAATAGAAAGTTGGGGAGAAACAAAGCAGCAAAACTCTCAGAAAATGGAAAATCTTTTCCATTTTTCTGTTACGGTAGTAATGAAGGTGCTCCATACCTTTTCCATACCTTTGAGTAAACTTATCTCCTGTGGAAACCTCAGTTAACCTGAATAATGAAGACATACTGGTGTTTCTGAATAGGAAAACCAAATATGTAAAGACATAGACACTGCATAGGTTTGATCTGATTCCAGTGATATTGCCAGTGGGATCGTGAAAGCTGGAAACATAAATCATCAATAGCCCCAAAAGCAACTGGAACAGATGACATAGCTCAGAGATCCTGCAGGTGCAGGTCCAGACCACTAGAGTGAAGGCAGTTAAATGAATTTTTTTATTTCCCAGTGCATATAAAAGTTATGTTTATACTATACTGTTGTCTGTTAATGTGCATTATATCTAAAAAAACTGTTCATACCTTAATTAAAAAAATATGCTAACCATTTCTCTGAGCTTTCAGTGACTCTTAATCACCAAAGATCACCCTGACAGATATTATGAAAAACTTTGAAATCTTGAGAGAATTACCAAAATTTCATACAAAGACACAAAGCAAACCCCACTGGAAAATGTCACTGATACACTTGCTTGATGCAGGAGCCACCACAAAAAAAAAAAAAAAAAAAAAAATCACATTATGTATGCCTGTGTTAGATATTCACCCTATAACCAAATAAATTCCATCTGGATTAAATAAAAGTTAAGTGGAAAAAATGAATACTCAGTAATACAAGTCAGAATACTCAATTTAAAAGAAGGACAAAAAGGGAGGAAAAAGGAAAAAACACATGGGAAAATAGTCCACAAATAGCAATTAAATGTAAGTGGTCTAAAAATACCTATTGAAAGCCAGAAATTGTAAGTTTGGACACAAAGGCAAGACCCAGCTATTTACCACTTATAAGTAACCCACTTTAAATATCAAGACACAGTTTAAACCAAAAGGATGATAACTCAGTAAGTGCATGTCCACACGGTGGAGTATTACTTCAATAAAAAGTACAGACACATTCTGCAACATGGGTGGACCTTCTTGAAAACAGGCTAAGGTAATGTAGCCACAAAAGGATAAATACTGGGGCGCCTGGGTGGCTCAGTGGGTTAAAGCCTCTGCCTTTGGCTCAGGTCATGATCTCAGGGTCCTGGGATCGAGCCCCGTATTGGGCTCTCTGCTCAGCGGGGATCTTGCTTCCCTCTCTCTCTCTGCCTACTTGTGATCTCTGTCTGTCAAATAAATAAATAAAATCTTAAAAAAATAAAAAGGATAAATATTATATGATGCCATTTATATGAAATGTCCAGAATGGGCCAATTTATAGAAGCACAAAATGGATTAGTGATAGCCTAGGTCTGGAAGGAATGGAAGGTTTCTGTTACTGGGCACATGTGGTAATGAATTGGACAATTTAATGTAGCAGTGATTGCACAACTCTAGGAACATACTAAAAACCATGGTTTTGTGTGCTTCAAATGGTTGAATTATATGGTATGTGAACTATATCCCAATAAGGTAGTTTTTAAAAACAAAAGGATGGAAAACATTATATATACTCTGCTAATAGTAATTACTGTAGCTACTCCAGCTTTCATGTCATTAATAAGAATATTACCACTGATAAAGAAGGTCATTTCCCAGTCACAGGGCATAAAATCCTATATAGAAAAAGAAATTTATAATCAAGACATTTCAACATAATTGATAGAACAAGTAAGCAGAAAAAATCAGTAAGAATATACAAGATGTGAACAACCAAATTGGCTAACTTAACATTTATAGAACACTCCAACAGCATCAGTTGGAACATTTACCAAGATAGACCACACTGAGGACCATAAAACAAGTCTTGGTAAATTTTAAAGGATTCAAATAATGTATTTTCTTTTGCCACAACAGAATCAAATCAGATACCAGTAACAGAGATACCTGGAAAACCCCCAAATTTATGCAAACTAAATTGCATACTTCTATTAGTCAAAAAAGAAAAGAAATTAGAAAGTATTTTGAACTAAATGAAAATGAAAACTTGACATACCCAAATTTGTGGGATGCAACAAAAGCAATGTTGAGAGGGAAATTTATAGCACTAAAATACTTACTTGAGAACAAAAGAAAGGTCCCAAATTAGTGACCTAAGATTTCACCCTAACAACTAGAAAAAAGCAGGAATCTGTAAAACAGCTTAAGATACAGAAATTTAAGGCCATGAAAAACCAGGGTTTTTTTTTAGAAGGTTTTAAAAAGTGATACATCTCTGCACAGACTAATCAGGATTAATAAATGAATCAACAAGATCAGAAATTAGAGCAATCAGTACAGGTCCTACAGATATTAAGAATATATAATAAAGGTTAAACAACTTTTTGCCAATAAAAGTAATAATGCAGATGAAATGGATCAATTCCTTGAAAGACATACACTTCTAAAACATACCGAACATAAGTCTCAGTGACCCTGTATCAAGTGAACTGAATTTATAATTTAAAAACATCCTCTCAAAGAAAACTATAGGCCCAGATGGCTTCAGTGGTAAATTCTACCAAATACTTAAGGAAGATACAGTTGCCCCTTGAACAGCATGGGGGTTAGGACACCATATCCCATGCAGTCAAACATCTGTGTATAACTTTGGACTTCCACAAAACTTAACTATTAATAGCCTACCATTGACTGGAAACCTTACTGACAACAAAAACCGCTAACACGTATTTTGTATATGTAGTACATACTATAAAGTAAATGAAAATACTGAAATAAAAAAAAATCCAAGTATAAGTGGACCCATTCAGGTCAAACCTGTGTTGTTCAACAGTCAACTGTAATGCCAGTTCCATCCAAACTCTTCTAAAAAGTGAAGGTGATAAATCATCACAGTAGTTGAAGACAAAGACATTTGACAGAATGCAACATTCATGATAAACCTCTCAGGAGACTTGATCAATCGGATGAAGACTGCATACCAAAAACATCTGCAGCTACCATCACACGGAGAGAGAAGGCATCCACAGTCTTCCACTGGGAAGATCGGGAACAAGGCAAGGATATCTGCTCTCACCACTCCTATTCAACGTAACTGTAGGCCCTCACATATGTAATAAGGCAAGATAAGGCATACAGACTGAAAAGGAAGAAACAAAATCCTCTCCATTCACAGTGATTTTCTATACAGAAAGATGAAGATCTAAAAAAATGCTAGTGGAATAAGATTAGCAAGGTTATATGACTAATATATAAAAATTAACTTTATTTCTATATACTAGCAACAAGTAATGAGAAGTAAAAATTTTCTAAAGCACCATAACACTAAATACTTGGGAGCGGGGAGGTGCCTGACTGGCTCAGTCAGTAAGCACCCAGCTCTTGATCTCAGCTCAGGTCTCAGGGTTTTGAGTTCAAGCCCCAAACTGGACACACAAAAAACAATGCCACAACTTAGGGATAAGTTTTGACAAAAGATGTACAAGACTCATATATCCTGAGATCTGTAGAACACTGGTGAAGGAACGACTGAAAGTGGAGAAATTCCATGTTCATGAATTGGATGACATTTTCACGATGTCCGTTTTCTTCCACTTGGTCTATAAATTCAATCCAGTTCCTGACAAAATCCCAGCAGAATTATTAGTGCAAGTTAAACTGGTTCCAAAATGTATATGAAAACCCAAAAGAACTAGGTTAAACAATTCTGAAAAAGGTGGAAGACCCACACTGATTTCAAGACTTAACTATGAAGCTATGGTATCAAGACAATGTGGTATTGGTGAAAGGACATACAGATTGATAGACTAGAATAAAATCCAGAAATAGACTACATATGCATGGTCAACGGATCGTCAGCCAAGGTACAAAAGTAATTTAGTTGTTCAGCAGATGGTGCTGAACAACTTGATAACCATATATTTCTAGGAGAAACCACAGGGGAACAAAATGTTTGGGAACATGGTTTACACAAAGACTTAGGTCTTAGAATCAAAAGCACAATCCATAAAAGACTGATAAATCAGACTTCATCAAAATTAAGAATTCCTGTTCTTTAAAAAACAAGCCGCAAACTGGGAGAAAAGTTCACAAACCTCTTACTAATGAAGGATTTAATTCTGTAACATATAAAGGGTTATCAAAACGCAAGAGGAAAACCAACCAACCAGATTTAAAACTACACAGAAGATTCAAACACGCTTCATCCATTATGTGCCTGTTAGGACGGCTAAAACCAGAAAATGATAGTAACAAATTCTGGCGATGATATTGGAGCACTGGGAACTTCTATGTATTCCTGGTGAGAATTCAGAATGATCCAGCATAGCTCTAATACCTGAAAACAGTCGGCATTTTCTTACAAACATGCGCTTACAACATAACCAGTAATTTCACTTCTAGGTGTTCATCCAAGGTTCATACAAAAACACGTACATGAACATTTAAAACTACTCCTAATTGCCAAAAAGTGGGAAACAACCCACATGTCCTCCAGCTGGCCAGTGGATAAGCAGACCTGTGGTATACCTGAGTCATGGCCAACTAGTCTGCCGTAAAAGGGAACTAACTACTGATACACCCGGCAACACGGATGAGCCTCAGATGCGTTGGTGCTTAGGTGAAACACCCTGGATTCGGTAGGCCACTTACTATAGGGTTTCATTTCTGTGAGAGTCCGGAAAAGGCAAACTATAGGGACAGGGAACACATTATCAGTGCTTGCTGGCAGGGGGCCCCCGAGCTGTGTCCCTTAACTAGCAATGTGGGAATTTGGGGGGAACGAAGAAACTACTTTATTGTGGTACTTACAGGGCTGTGTTTGTCAAAACATGTACCACTATACCCTTTTAAGGGTGAGTTTTACTGTAGGTAAACCTTTAAAAAATGACATTTTGTGCAAAAAAAGTTAGACTAAACATATAAATCAGTGCCTTTCAATCTTACCTATCACCACCTAGGAAGGTTTAAAAAAAATCTTGCAGAGAATTGGGAGTTTCTCCAATAAATAACAAAATTAGACTGCTGAAGAAACATTTGTCATTATGACTGAATAGATGATAGCTGAGATCAGAAGTACCTCGGGTCTAGAACCAATTACACCACCAGAAGAAAAGAATTCTAAAATACCACACAAGGTAATTAACATGCTTGGGGACCATTAGTAACATTTATCAGGGCAGTTCGGCATATTGGTACAGTCTGTCAAGTATTAGAACATTGCTTGTAGTATTAAACAAGTAGGAGGAAATCATACATCAATAGGGGATTAAACGATGACAACACACGGCAGCTAAAGAGATGTGCGTATTTCTGATACGGGAAGATCTAAGATGCAGTGTTGACTGAGCAACTGTTCCAAACGACACATAAATGTGCCATTTCAGTTTTTTTTTTTTAAGTCGGCTTCACATCCAGCAAGGAGCCAAAGGTGGCACTTGAACTCATGACCCCAAGAGGAAGACCTGAACTGAGATCAGGAGTCAGATGCTTAACTGACTGAGCTATCCAGGCGCCCCTGCCATTTCAATTTTTTTTTAAACCCCACTTAATAGTATTACATTTCTAGTGAGTGCATTCGTAGATAGAAAGCAGAGGCTGTACAGTAGCCTGATCAGTCCAGGGAATGAAAAATAACAGGTGTCCCAGGAATTGGGTGAGGACAAGAAGTCTCAGCATATTCGGTATGAGCTTTTGGGGGGAATAAGAATTTGTATTTTAAATATGTACATGTGCAAATTGTGTAAGATACTATGAATTGTATATAAATTATATGTAACACATTAGTGTACTATATATATATGGCATAAATGTGCTGTGTATATTGTTATATAGTTATATACTGTATATGTATAGTATAAACTGTATATGTATGGTATATATTGTATATTTCATATGATATGTATACATTATATGCACTTAACAATTTAAGGAACAGTCAAGTGAATACGAGACTAGAGTTTAGGAATGCAAGAGAAGGAAAGCAAGAGAAGAGAAAGTCAAAGGAAAGCTTCCTGAGAGTGGTTGAGATTTGGGAAGGTGCATATGCTAGTAATAAAGAATACTGGTGATTTTATTTAAAACCTCAGAAAAATTATTTTAAAATAAAGAATAAAATATGAATAAAATAGGCCTAGGATTAGCTTTAAGACAGTCTGGTGAATGGGAAATGAATGAGGGTATAGATCAAGCATGACTGGCCAAAACTGGCGCAGTGGGGTGATCGCTAGGGGAGGGGTCATTACCCTCTTCTCCCTGCTTTCCTGTTTGAGAGCTTCTGTAATAAGCACAGGTGAATGTGGTGAGTATATTTTCCCTAAGGAAACATGGACAGTGAAGCAGCATGTGGAAAAAAAAAAAAAATGTGACCAACAAACTACCAGAAAATCACGTGGCAACTGACTTTTGGGGCTTTGGAGAAACTTAGTGCTGAAGGCTTTATATACACGTCCAATCTTGCTAGCATCCTGGCAGTTCTTCCTCAATCAGGGTTCCTCCCATTAACCACAGAAGACAAATTTGTCAAATTTTTCTCAATTCTCCAAAGGATGAAAAAATAACTAGTACCTTCTAGATCATACTAATAAGTTACTTATAATGGATACTTTAGGGAATTAAGGTTTACTTGTCCTGTGAAATTCTGGTTTGGAACCACTGCTAAAAAAATGAGTAACATTAGACTGAAAAGGGCATAATACTGTGTAAAAGCACACTATTTTTTAAAAAAGAAAAATGGAGACATACAGAATTGACTAAGTATGGCACAGCAAGGTGATGCTCCATAACTATTGTAAAACAAAATCACAAATTCGTGAATTCTTATTTTTGGAAAAGTGTACATCAGAATCACCCCTGGAGCTTGTTAAAAAAATAGAAATGCTGGGGCGCTGGGTGGCTCAGTGGGTTAAGCCTCTGCCGTCAGCTCAGGTCATGATCTCAGGGTCCTGGGATCGAGCCCTGCATCGGGCACTCTACTCGGCAGGGAGCCTGCTTCCTCCTCTCTCTCTCTCTCTCTCTCTCTCTCTCTCTCGCTGCTTGCCTCTCTGCCTACTTGTGATCTCTCTCTGTCAAATAAAATCTTTAAAAAAACAAAAAAATAGAAATACTTTGCCCTCCAACCCAGACAGTCATCAGTGTCAGCCAGCTGAGAAGTGAAATCGGAAAGGGATATAATTCAGTAGTTACTTTCTTTGTAAAGATGTTCAAACTCTGAGCCACCCAGGCTCCCCAAGATGTTCGAACTCTTGAAGTTAAACTCTTAACTCATTTGAGGTTCTTTGACTAATCACTGAACTCTACGTATGCGCATTTTAAAGTTTGGTATGTTTTCCCCCCCACTCTAGAGACTGCGAGAAATTAACAGTATGATACGGACAGGAGAAACTCCAACCAAAAAGAGAGGGATTCTTTTGGAAGATGGAAGTGAATCACCTGCAAAAAGAATTTGCCCAGAAAATCATTCTGCCTTACTTCGTCGTCTCCAAGATGTAGCTAATGACCGAGGTTCTCACTGAGGTTAGTCGGTTGTACCGAAAGGGTCTTTCACAAGCTGTTGACCGCACCGGTTAATGCATGCTAGATTACGGGGCTCGTTTCCTAATCTTCCGGTATCCTTAGGATCTCTCTACTCAGCCCAACTGCCTTTTTCCTATCACTCAGTGCTTGCCGTCAAGGCTGCTTAGCATCCAAACAGGATTTTTTTTTTTTAACTCTTCAGCAGTGCTTTTGCAAGCATTACAGGGAACAGAGCGTGCTCGGATCCGTGTGTAAGAGGTCTCTGTTGACGTGCTCTGGCAGAGGGACCGGCTGTCAGTTCATTCCTACCTGTTCGTGGTCAGCTTCTGGCCCTCACGAAAAGCAGAACAAAAACTTAAGAGGTGTTTGTCCCAAAACGCTTGGTAGGAGTTAGGAGGGTTTTGCGTCCCTGAAACAGAACAAGGGGGAGCCCAGATTTGGAGCTCCTAGGTTACCCCAAGCCGCCCATTCCCTATGGGTAATTCTTCCCTCTCCCCGTTAGGTGTGGTACAGTGTGGTAAGTGCTGGATTGTTTGGTGTGCAATGTGTGAGTGAACTTGCGTAAGAAGTGGCACTTTAGGGCTGTAAAAAGCATGATTTTGTAACCCAGATTTTGCTGTATATTTGCGATGGCACTTTCTACAATGTGAACTTCATGGAGTACAAAACTTCCAGGCTAAACATGCAATACCATCTTGGATGCTTTTGTACTTTTTTTAAACTGTTCAAGCCCCAGTAGCCACCTTTGGGCATGTGTTTCAAATTCTCCAGTTTTTTGTTGTTAATAGGGATCAGCTGGCTAAGTAAAGATTTTAAATCAAGTTGAATTAAGGCAATATGGAAAATTACGACCTCTTCTTTAGGAGGTAGTTATCTGAAAGACACGTGTCTATTAAGGTGATAAATTTAAGATATCTTTGGGTGTGCTCCTGACAGTTTAAAAAATAGATTGGAGAATTTAGGTTTTTATTAGTACCTAGTACCATTTATAAAAATTAGAAATGTTATTTAACAGCTATTGAATTATCTATATATACCTTTATTAATCACTATTGTTCCAGCAGTTTTAAAGTTGAACGAATAATCTTGTTAGGGAGAAAATTCAATTGTAAATTGAATCAGTATAAACCAAGTTACTGGGTAACTTCATATTGCTCTGAAAGAAATATGGAACTTACACTGTTCAGTTAGAATAGTGGTGCAAAAATATTTATAAAACCTCTTAAGATACTTACTGCTACTGTAATTTTATATGAAAATAAGTGTATTTTTCAATAAAGCATTTATAAGTTAATCTTTGTTTAGTTATATTGAGAAAGGGCTATTTAGTTTCCTGCATAAATGACAAAGAACAATCATTTATTGGTTTATTTTGTTTCTACAAAACACATTAGTCATTTATCATTTAAATATCTGACTTCATTAGAAACCGTTTTAACACTTTCTCCCTCCTGCCATAAAAATACAGTAAGTAATTTCCTTTTTAAAAAAAGAAAAAAAACCTTCAGCTATGAACAAGTGTTCTGGTTTCCTCTCACTCACCTAATGTGTACCTCAGTGATCGACGGGAGTCTGTAAAGCAGTAAGACAGCAGACTGAGGACTGAAGTTCGGATGATCTTCCACTTCCAAGTGCTCAACAGCTACGGAACCTGTTCTCTCTACCTCTCTTCTCGTCCTGACATTATATACAACTGAAACCACGCGTGTCAGAGTCACGAGAGTGCCGAACTCTGCTACTCTGTTAGTTTAAATGAATGTAACTTACCTTTAGCGTTATATTCAGGAAAATACTTAAGCCTCGAGGTCTCCAATAATTTGGAGTACTCAACTAGATAACCACCCTAAAGACACTTCCGACAGAAGTAATGCATTACTTAGAGAGAGGTTTCCAAAACTTGCTGTTACAACCCACGCACACACGGACACACTGATACCAGTCCTCGTTCGCACAGTTTTACTCTTCCGGCAGTCCTTTGCCATCGGTCAGCTCTAACTAGGCCCGAGTCCGGCAGGAAAGTGCACGGTGCACCAGATTCACCAGCGCTTAAGTTGCTACTGTTTTCTCTTCTTTACTGAAAGGTTGTACTGAACCAGGCTTTACCCATGACAGGCCGGCAACATGAACACTTTTATTGTGCTGTTCTTCAGGCTTCTTCTAGGCATAATAAAAAACAGACATGAGACATAGGACTGACGGAGATGTTGGCCCTGTACAACTCATTTCCCCAAAAGTTATTTGTACATAATGAGTAATCTCCAACGAAGACATTTCAGAAAGGAAATCGTTAACGATTTCAAAAATGGTTATGTACTCACCTTCTGAGTCAGCATCTTTTCTCTGGCTTCATCATGTACAGAAGGATTCCATGGAGAAAAGCTTTAGGAAGAGAGAAATACTTAAAAACTGCTTTGGCTTACTAAATTTGTAGAATATCCATTTAGTCCCTTAACAAAACTTAACAAGGAGCAATAACCAGTTGTCGACATGTAAGTTTTAGATGTGACTCTAGATGATTCTCATAGGCTAACTATCCCTTAGAAAGCACTTACACATGTCGCGTCAGCTCATGTCAGCTTCACAACCATCCCTGCAGTATTATTATTTACAGAGGACGAAAGTGTGGCAGTCAAATTAAGTCACTGCTCTGAGTCACCCAAGTCAGTAAGCGAAAGGCCAGCCAGTCTGTCCGCAGAGGCCAGGCCTCTCACCCACTGTACCACCAGCCTTCCAGCAGTACGTGTTGCCAGAGAGCTAAACCACCAATTCCTCAGGTCTCCGTAATCCTTCGGATGTTTCCGAGATTAAATATCATAGTGATAAAGGAACGCGCTATTCACACTATTTGGTTTCCCCTCATTTCCCCAAGTCTGAGCATTAGTGGGGGATGTGGCGGTTTAAGAGGGGCTCCAGCTAAAACTGTCAACTGAAAAGAAAAGTCTGGACATTTTTGAACGTGCACAGGACAAGGATCCTTAGGAAATCAAAGTCACTAAATAGCTTGCTATTGGCACAATATGCCAGTCAATGTAAAGCTTGCTTGCTTTTTTTTTTTTTTAAAGATTTTATTTATTATTTGACAGAGAGAGACAGCAGAAGAAGGAATGCACACAGGGGAAGTGGGAGAGGGAGAAGCAGGCTTCCCGCCAGCAGGGAAGCGAGATCAAAACGGGACTTGATCCCAGGACTCTGGGACCTGAGCCGAAGGCAGACGCTTAACAACTGAGCCACCCAGGGGCCCCGACGTAAAGCTTTCTGTTTCAGGGATACCTAAGAGGTATCAGAAGGCGAGCTGCCAACAAATTATAAAAGTTGTAGGCTAACAGATGATACACTCTCCTTTTAAATCCCCATTCTAAGACCACCTGGAAGTACAGGATGGCAAAGTGCAGTTTATCTCGATCGTGGGCCACTTACCTAATTGCGTAGGGGTCTTCTATCTTAGGTTGGTCAAACAAACGAGCCGTGCACATCTTAACACTGTCCACCACTTTGCTTTTAAAAAGCTGAACATCTTTTTCATACCTGTATTAAAAGTTTAATTCAAAAAGTTACCAACGTAATCAACTTAGCTGCACCGTCAAATGTATCTAAAAGGACAAAGCAAAGTAACATACAGCACTGCAGCCTCTGGGTTTAGGGGGCTTGATGTATCAATCTTGTAGAAAACTCTCCTTGCGTACATTAAAACTTGCCAAATGTGATTATGGTTCCGCCTAAAGAGAAGCACGTAGGATCACTGAAGTATCGTCCTGCTGACGTACGTCACCAAAGTAAACCTCATGTACTAACCTCCATTTTGCAAACGCTCTCTTGACATCCAGTTCCCCTGAGGTGGGGTCGACTAGTGGGTGAAAGACGGGAATGTCGAACACCAAGCGCTGTATTTAAAGAGAGAGACGTGTCCTTTAGTGGAAGCAAGGAGCTTACTAGACCCATAAAGAGAGGTGTAAGGGGAGCTTCAGTACAAGGCAGTCATGGTGTTTTAAGCCAAAGAGCTGCCTCAAGAGGGATACTTAACTACTTCCACCATCTTCCTATAAAACTCAATTTTGCAACCGGGGGGCAGGCACCCTTTGCTCTGCTGTAGCACAGCACTGCCACGTGCACAGCCAGCCTCCCTCGCACGCCCTGAGCAGAGAAACAAGGGACACTAAGGGCTGAGCAGAGAAACAAGGGACACTAAGGGCAGAGGCTGGCGTGGCAAAAGACGCAACAAAGCACAAAAATCCCCTCCAGAGACGACTGCATAGACAAAACATTTTGGGAAACTGAAATCGTAAAGTGAGCTCAGGAAAAGAACCAAGGAATCTTCAAGCCCTTTAGGTCCTCCTCGGACCCAGCAAAGGCTGACTCCTTACTTACGGGGCAGTCACCATCCGGGTAGTTATCAGGGATGTAAACTGTAAACTTAAACACACCGTCTTGATACAGTCCATGTCGTATGAATATTACTCCAAACCACACTGTGGGGAAAAATAAAAAACAGTTAAGACCCAAGTTTGTGTCAGAGGAACCAAATATGCTATAAATTAAGAACAAATCCTCCTTACTTAACGCAGAGCGGTAAGACGGCTGCACGTAGACACCCGGTAGCTTCTGCTTCACGACCAAGGTACTGAAACAGAAGAAGAGTAAAATCGTATGCATAGAAATGACACGTACAGACCAAACAACCCTACATTCACTTTCCGAGACAAGCACTAGTCCGCTGACGGGCAGCCAGCAGCTAACACACAAGCCAAGTCCTCACCATCTCACCCGGCCTGGACTCGTCCCCGTGTCCCAGCTTCCCAGATCAAGCTCACAGAGAAACAGGAGCCAAAGCCGGCCCCAGACAAAGAAATTCAAGCCAAGCAGGGGTACACAAAGAATCAAGTTTTCTTCCCAGAAATCAACTTTGCCAAAACATCACCTTGGAAACCAACCAATAGGTAATTCTGAACAATGCAAACTGATGTAAATTCTGGATGTTAAATTTTAGGGAAAAGATGTACAATTTTTGCTTTTGTGACTATGGACAATAGATTTCACCCACACATGTTCAAAAGCCTCCTGAAGTATGATTTTAGGTAATAAGCATAAAAATTCTCCACAACTGCCATCACTTAGGTGTCATCTCAACTGTGAACACCAGTCCACGTGGCAGAGGGCCACATAGACTTGCAGCGTTCTTGGCGAAGGCAGGCATGTGCGTGAGGCGCTCCCCACTCTGCTCTCCCTCTCAAGCACCCCCTCCCCAATCCAGGTGCCTGTACTCTGTGGGCCCCACAGCAAGGGAGGACAAGGGCACTGACAGAGGTGGTACGGGATCTCTGGGACCTTGTCACCGTGCACCTAAAGGCATAAGGCTGAGATCAAACCTGGAACAGTGCTGACTTCGGGCCTTAAAACACGTTTAACCTGCCAAGCCTGGATTTTATTGAGAAACAACGTGTTGAACCTTAGTTGTCTATTTTACCTATTTACCATCACACTTACTTGCAATCCTTTGCCTAAAGCTCGGCACGTCAGCACGCGCGGCTGGCAGATGCAGCTAGTACGGGGAGGCCGTCTGGTGTTCTAACACAGACAGCAGATCTGGGCCACAGCAGACGCCTGTCCGGCCCACGGCCCAGCCTCAAATACAAGGCCTCCATTATAAAGCCAAAGGGACCACTGTCACCAAACCACACTCCGCCAGCAGCGCTGGGGCCTCAGACCCTCTAACCGTCACGACACGAGTACAGTACGGGAACGCTTGGGGATGCGGTACCATGACACAGCTGAAGAATTCCTCCTCCACACTTCGGCCCCGGGAACACGTGCTCAAATCCGAGCCTGCCGGCCCCCCGAGGTCAGCGTGACCAGCCCTCTGGGCGGCGCTCCTCGCCTCCCGCTATGGACGCTGCGACTTCAGTCTGACCTTCAGCTTTTTTTTTTTTTTTTATAAGATTTTATTTATTTATTTATTTGACAGACAGAGATCACAAGTAGGCAGAGAGGCAGGCAGAGAGAGAGGAGGAAGCAGGCTCCCTGCTGAGCAGAGAGCCCGACGCGGGGCTCGATCCCAGGACCCTGGGATCATGAACCGAGCCGAAGGCAGCGGCTTTAACCCACTGAGCCACCCAGGTGCTCCTGACCTTCAGCTTCTGAGACTAGTGCGGTTCTCACCTGCACAGAGCCTGAACCTTTGTGACTTCCCTGTACTGCCTACTGCTGCCTCTGCGGGAGTCCAGTCCCCTGTGTAATGACAGGACCTCAAATACACGAAGGCAGCTCTGAGAAGTACTTCCTACGTGGTCTCTTCTCCGAGTTGGCAGTTCTAGTTCCTTCCGTTGTTGGCTCCTAAGGTCTGGCTTCCTGACCTCTGCCTACTGGGAGCCTCTCCTCAGTGTGGCAGGATGCCTCTTACGAGGTGGTCACCACAGTGGAGCACAAACTCCAGCTGGGTCTGACCCAAGAACAGATTCCTGCGTCCCATTGTCCCGTTCTCCACAACCAGCTCCTCAGGAGGGGACTTCCTCACCTCCTGTCAAGGCACACCAAAATTAAGTTACTTAGTTCCTGACCTACTTTAAGTGCGCAGAGGGTCTTCTCTTGCTCTCCAAAACAGACGTGAAAATGCAAACCCACATTTGCCTTTCAATCTTATTTACCGGATATCGGAGGGGGATGCACCTGAGCTTTAAGACTGAATGACGCAGGCGTGATCTGAGCGCACCGGAATAACCTTCACTTTTCACCTTCAATGGTCAGTCAGAATCTAACCAGACAGCTTCAGCACTTACAATTCTGCAAGAAGAGAGTATTCCAAGTAGAAGGGTCCGTAAGAAGCATGTGTGCCGTTTGTTGACTGTGCGGCTGGGGCGGGGGATGTAGGCTTAGTTATGGGCAAAGCGTTTTTGGGAATACAAGGCAGCTGTTTCTTCGAAGCGGCACGTGGAGGGCTGGTTATCACGTCCCCTGTTAATGCCTTCTCCTCGCCGTCCGATCGCTGTTCGAGATGAAGTGGTGAGAACATCTGTTAGCATGAATCTTAAATCACGAGGGTACCTATGATACACTCTTATCCTTGACCTGAATGCTGGAATGACTCTTTCACAAGGACGTTCTAGCATCACAATCAAGACGACTTGGAAGTCCTCTGAGTAGGCAGCCCGTTAGAAAGAGAGCAAAGCTGAAGGAAGACTAAAGCAACAGGAAAAAAAAAAAAATTTGAAAGCTACATCTGAGAAAAACAATGCCAGTATTTACAGGACGTATACGAAACAGACAAATGGTTTCTTCTGGTGACCCCAAAGAGGGCAAGGGGTTACTTAGCAACTAGACAACTGTAAGAGAAGAGTCCCTTGGCTCTTAGGTGCTGTAGAAGGTCAGGTGCGAAGCAGCACAAAGCAAACAGTAGAGGTGACTGAAGCCGTAGTCACACCACCTGGCGTGAGCACCTCGAGAGCTTAGAAACAGCGAAAGGAGCGATGCTCTCCCTTGCACTGCTCTGATTCTGATCTTGTCCCTGATGGAGGTGATCCCCATCTGGACTCTGCCCAGCACAGTCAGCCTAAGTCAAAGACAAAGGTCTACATGAGTCAGAGACGAAACCACCGTCTCATGGGCACTTCCTGGGCTCAAGTAGAGCCCAAAGGCTGTTTAAATTACCTGCATTAAAAATGGGTATCACGTACATAGGAAAAAAGAGGATTCCTGGCGGTGGTCTCTTAGAGGTGGAGTTACAGATTATATTCATTCTCTGTTTGTCTGCATTTTTAAAGTTTTCTTAAAATGTACTGGTTTTGCGATTTAAAAATAATACCTTTTGTTTGGAGAAAATAAACCCATACCCTCAAGTCTGAGCTGACCATATTGGACTGGTCTTTCTCAAAGCTTCTCTGACTGGAATCTTGCAAATTAGTAGAAAGACTACTATAATAACGTGTCACAAATTTCATCCTGTGTAAATATACCCTAAACAATAATCTTAGAATTGTGATTACCAGGATGATTTTCCATTTGAGATGCCATCCAACTCTCAGAAGCTAACTTTAATCAGCAAAATAAATTATTTCTCAAAAGTAAAACCTACGGGTGCCTGGCTGGCTCTGTTAGAAAAGTGTATGACTCTTGATCTCAGGGTTGTGAATTCAGGCCCCATGCTGGGTATAGAAATTACTACAAAAAATAAAACAAAACAAAAAAACAAAACAAAATAAGCAAAGCCAGGTAATTTCGTCAATATTATAGGCAACTTTAGTAGGAATTATTCTTGACCTCTACTTTGACTCAACTGGGTTTCCTCGTTAAATTTATTAACTATACCTACTTTGCGGACAGAGCTTGCAGACATACTCCAGAAAGGGTTCATAACGTGGACTCCAAACAAAGAAATTCAGTGGTCTGTGTCATCAAACTTCCCCGTCCTCAGAAGTCGCTTTACCTAAAAATGAGATGGGAAAACACAGAAACATACCAACACCAACAGTTAAGATTTCCAAAACAGTTAAATACTAAATTTGACACTCTAAATAAAAATTCAACATAACGTTCTAGAATATATAGTTACAAAAATTAGGGGAAAAGAGTATTCAGAAAGTTTCCCTCAGCAAACCCCTCCTTCTTCTGAATCCAGTTTCTTTCCCACCTTTAAATGCCTACGAGAATCTTTGTAATGAGCCCTTGGCCAGGATTCAGAATATTCAGTGACACAGTTCAGCTTAGGTGCCAGAACCAGAAGACACGGATGGACTACAACAGTTGCTACTAGCATACAAAGGCATTCGATTATAGGGACAGGCAGGGGCAGGGATCACTGAACCCACATACACAAAAGGTCTGTCACTGTTCAGAGTTATGGTAATTCAAGAGCCAAGGGGCTTATTTGTGTCTTACAGTTGTTTTAAGTACAAAATTATTATTCCCCACAAAACCAGTAGCCAGAGACATAACAGAGAGAAGGTAGAGCAGGTAAGAGAGAGAGGATAACTGGGTCCTGGCAGGATCATCCCCGAGAAATGGTCTTTTTCTGTGCTTAATGTGTGGAAACTACAGGATTAGAAGGAATGGCCAAGCAGTACATACGAATGCGAGAGAGGAGTGCAGAGACATTTCACAAATAAATCTCCCAGCAAAGCTTCAAGTACTGGACGAGAAAGTATGCCTCAAAGGTCACAGAGTCAGTGGGTCATTTGCTAAAAATACAGAGGAAGAGGCAGAGGAAAAGCAGCAAGTCAAGCTGTAAGAAAAACTTCTCCACTCTGTGGATTTTCTCCAAGCTCGGTTATGTGGAAAGCAGAGCTCCTTCTCTGAATTCCTACTTGCACCAAATGCAAAGGCTGAAGGTTAAAAGGGTCAAAACTTAGCAACATTCTGCTAAATTCATAAGAAGCATATCATGAGAAAAACCTGTACCAAATGTCCCCGACAGCAAAAATTTGTTTTATGACAAGCCTATGATATCCGCAGGTGGGTACCAAGTGTCCATACCTCAGCGGTGCCAATTACTGCTGTTTTCCTTGCCATGACATAATGCCACCCAGTAATTAAATCAAAGGAATGAGGCTCCTGGTTCTTCCACTAACCTGTTGACTTACACCCACTACAGAGCAACTTTTTGCAGAGAGCTCTCCACAAACCTGCCTTTAAAGGTGACTAGGGCACAGAGGAGAACGGTTGGGAATCAAAACTCTGTGCGGGCATCTTCTCGTTTGGACCAAATGAAATTGTTGGTTTTTCAGATCCAGTGTAATGTATGGCACCCTGCTGTGATCTAGGATACATCTGACTTAACAGAGGATCCCCTCCCCTTGGGACGCGGTGCTCACCACCATGTAAATTTCCTGGAGTGATGCATTCACCTGTATGGTCCCTTCCAAGTCTAACACCTAAAGATTCTATGACTCTGCCTTTAAGAATCCAAACCTGCCCCCCCAGTTCCTGTTACCTTAAAGCAGAAGATAGTTTCTATTACTGCCTGTGTTTCCAGTAGCACCATGATCACCTGAAGATTAACTACTCGGTTTATTAGATGTCCAGTCTACCCAGACAGGGTTCAGCATTTTCCAATAGGAGTGACATAGATAGAAGGAAGCCCTAGGGCACAATTGGAGAATTTCTGCTGGTTTGGCCATACAAACCAAACAGGACGGTCTTCCTTTACGTCATACAGCTGAGAAATCAGTGTCTTGGACCTGTACGAATGATCTGAACATGGCTTGAGCCAAAACTCAGAAGGGTGCTGCTTTCCTATGTGCCACAGTCCCTAAATAGGCACTAACTTAATACATCACCCAAAAAGCCTTAAATTCCACGTTAAGAGGAGACAAGAGTACGGCACCGAGAAAGGACGAAAAACCTTGGCCCTGGCCGGGATCGCTGCGGACAGCCCGGACCGGCACCCTTGCCCAGGGCGGAAATCCATCTCTGCACACACACACGGAATCCGGACAAACCTGTCTCGGGGTGATGCAAGGCACGGGCCGTGTCCTAGCTTCGCAGCTAGTTCGAGGCTGGCCCGGGTCTGCAAGCCCCTCCGGTGGGGAGCTGAGGGCCTCCAGGGCTCGAGGACGCCCCCCCCCCCCCCCCCCCGCCACACACACGCCCCAACGAGGGCGCAGGACGGAGGCGGGGAGGGCGGGCCGCGGATGGGGCGAGCCGGTCGGGCCCTCCTCCCTTCCTCAGGCAGCGGGGCCCAGCAGCCGGACAGCCCCCAGCTCCGGCCCGCGGCGCAGCAGGTGCCTGCAAACCCGGACAGGTGCCCGACCCCGCCCCCGTGTCCCAGCGCGGCCGCCGTCGCTACGGAGTCGAGAGCTCCGGGTAGGGCGGACAAACGCCGGGCCGAGGACGCTAGTGGCCCAGGTTTAAGGATTCCACGGGCCTCCCGTCCCTCCTAGCAGTGCACCTTACCTCGACGTTTTCAACGCAGTGCTCCCGGCAGCTGAGCGCCGTCGCGGCCCCACAGCATCTCTGGCCGCAGCGCCAGCCCGGCCCCTGCCTGCTCCCCGCCCCGCCCTGCTCTCGGTGTTGGGCCCCGCCCTCTACCCCACGCCCCTGGGCCAGGACGCTTCCGCCCAGCCTCCCGGCGCCAAGTGGCTGCCATACCAGTCCGTCAAGCACGTTCTTCCGGGGGGCGTTGGGACGACTGCAGTCCACTCTGCCAATCAAATCAGCTCCGCTCGGGTGGGGCAGCACTTGACCCTCCCCTTACGTAACAGCGCCCAGAGTGAACTGTCAGTCACGGAAATCTCAGCCCCGGGGGAGGGACGGGGAGGAAACAAACAAGCACCTGAGCGTAACTGGCCACGACATCCGTCAGTCATCATAGAGGCCCGCCCACAGGTTTGTGCGTGGCCCCTGCAGCCATGTAGGGAGGCTGTGACTGCGGATTTTCTGAGTCCCCGCTGTGGCAGGGCGAGGGAGGGGCCGGCTTGCCCGAGAGAGAGAGACCTGAGGGAGGGCTCGGCCGGCGGTGGGAGCACCCCACTCGGGGGGGGGGCGCTACGAGCCCCGAGACCCCCTCATCTCCCCGGAGTGGGGGGAGGGGGGCGCCAGGGTGGCTGACAGGTCAAGGGAACCTACTAGAAGGTGTTACGTAACGTTGAGAAACGCAGTGTTACCGGTCACAGGAGGAGCGCATGGGGGGAGCGCAGCCCTGTCAGCGCTTGGCGGTAGCGCTGCCGGAGGAGCTGGTTAAAAGCGTACCAGTCAGACTGAAGCGACAGAGCCCGAATCCAGGGGGGCGGTGAGCGACAGGAGTTACATCTGCCACAAGTTCCTCTGGTGGTTCGGGACCTCCTCCATGGCAACAGAGCTCCTGGTCCCTGACTCCTAAGTCTTCTGACCCCACAAACCCTCACTCTGATCCAGAACGCTTGCACCCCGCCTAACCCTTTACTGCTCAGCAGTTTGCCACGGAAGCCACTCCCGGCTGCAAACAAAATCAAAACTCAGCCGGCCTTCCAAGGCACGGCCCGTGTCGGCCTCCTTCCCACGTTCCCCTCTCATTTCCCACGTCCGTCTCCAGCCCCATTCCGTGATGGCTGCCCTTTTCTTAGGATGGTGCCCTTTCTCGGGGCGCCCTTCGCATCTGCACCTGACTCAGTGTCTTACAGTCCTCAGAAGAGAAGTCTTCTCCGACCGGGTTGGTCCGTTCGGGATTGCTTTTGAGATCCTGGTAACAACGACCTCGAATGGCAGGCAGCCAGACTCTCCTCTTGTTAATCCCCAGGGCTGGTTCTGAAACCCGACTTCCTCCCCTAGCTGAAAACACTCCTGGAGCCGCTTCCTTTTGTCCAGGCTGAATACACTTGGGAGTGTTGTCCTGCTCTTAATATTAGCTTCAGTCAATATGAAAAGAGAGGCAAGCAGGAAATCCTTTCCTCTGACCACAGGTGGTCTCCCTGGTACCTACATGGCCCAATCCCTCCCGACCTTGTTTGCAGGCTCATTATCCTCTCCCAGACTGATGTTACCCTCCACTCTCTGCTCGGCCAGCTCATTCCTTCCCCCAGGACTCATGTATGTTACTGCAGCCCAGACCGCTCCACTGAGCTTCCGTTGCTCACGTCCAGTTGCCCACAACCACACTAACCATGCTTGCCTCAGGCAAGCATCAGTTAGAATCCTTGGGGTGGAACCTGCCAGAAAACCCAGCTCACACTGGCTTCCATAGCAAGGGGCTTTATCTCACAAGGTAGGGCAGGCTCTGGGGGCTGGTGCCCTGGGCTTCAGACAGAGGCATACCCAAATGTGACAATGCCTAGCAAAGTGAAAGGATCCTTTTCTTCCAACCTTTTCCAAAGAGCAAGTGTACCTTATCCCGAAGGGGTCCAGAAGAATGCCCGCGTTCCAGTGACCAGAGAAGAGTCACTGGGTCTCCATCCACAACTAAACCAGTCAAGAGCAAGTGGAATGAGACGGCCATGACGGGCCAGAGCTAGTTAAGGTTTACTTGCTCTTTAGGGAGGGTGGTGACATAATCAGATTTGCATTTTGAGAAGGCCACCAGAGTAGGACGCCATTTGGGAAGCCATTGCAGTTGCTGAGCAAGGGACAGCTGCACAAAGATAATAGTAGAGAAGGAGAAGGGGATGCATTGGAGAGATATTTAAGAGGTGGAGTGGACAAGCCTGGGCCAGAGATAAGACACGGGGGATAGGGATACGAAGACAAAGGGTATCATGGAGGACACCTAGATTTTTGGCCTGAGCTACGGGGTGGATGGTGAGAACATTCACCAAGATGAGTGACCGTAAGCCATGCTGTTTATGGGAGGGTGGGAATGGGGGAGAGTTCTGTTTCCGATAGGTAATGTCAGGGGTGTTCTATGAGTACTGTTACTTGTGTACCTGATATCCACATCTCTCTTCTTCATTGTTGACAGGTCCTCAATGTTTATTGAGGAGTCCAACCCTTCAGTGGTTTCCCATAGCTCTTAGGACAAGACCAGTGGCACGGCTGGGACAGCACCTGTCCAGCTCCCTCTGTCCCGACTGTAGTCACTTGCATTCTTTTAATTTCTAAGGTGTGATGCTCTCCCACCGCACCCCACTGAAAAGATGGGGCCTTTGAACTGGTTGTCTCCTTTGCCTGGAACCTTCTTTTTTTCCTCCCCTACACAGATCTCAGCTGAAACACCACTTCCTCAGGGAGATTTTCCATTTTGGGGAGAGGACTTATTAGTGTCTGTCTCCCTCACTACACGGGAAGCTCCACGAGGTCGGGACCGTGTGCTTCTCCCTACATGGTCTCCCCGACAGCCAATCCAATGCCTGGATGTAGTAGGTATGCAAGAAGTATTTGACAAGTGAAGGGCAGAAGCAACTAAAGTAAATTTAAAACCTGCATGCTCCCAGCTTTGCATCAAGAAGAGTAGGTCATTATGAAAACAAGGATGATGGACTCCAAGAGAAATGAAGCAGCCTCAAGGCACCATTTTCTTTCTTTTTTTTTTTTTTAAAGATTTTATTTATTTATTTGACAGACGGAGATCACAGAGAAGCAGGCAGAGAGAGAGGAGGAAGCAGGCTACCCACTGAGCAGAGAGCCCGATTCGGGGCTTGATCCCAGGACCCTGAGATCATGACCTGAGCCGAAGGCAGAGGCTTTATTTAGCCCACTGAGCCACCCAGATGCCCCAAGGCACCATTTTCTTAAGAGTGAAATAGATACTCTTCAACAGGGTGTTGGGAACACTGGGCGGCGACAAGCAAAAGAATGAAACAGGACCACTTTCTCACACCATATACAAAAATAAACTCAAAATGGATTAAAGATCTAAATGCAAGACCCAAAACTATAGAAGTTCTAGAGAGAGAACAGGTAGTTATTTTTCTGACACCAGCTGTAGCAACATTTTTCCAGATCCCTCTCCCAAGGCAAAGGAAACAAAAGCAAAAATAAGCTATTGGGATAACATTAAAATGAAAAGCTTCTGCACAGCCAAGAAAACAGTCAATAAAACTGAAAGGCAACCTGTGGAATGGGAGAAGATATCTGCAAATGACATAGCCAATGATGAACTTCTAAAACTCAACACCCAAAAGCAGATAATCCAATTTAAAAATGGGCAGATGACATGAACAGGGATTTCTTCAAAGAAGACATCCAGACGGCCAACAGATCCTTGAAAAGATGCCCAACATCACTCGTCATCAGGGAGATGCCAATCAGCCACAAGAAGTTACCACCACACATTGGTCAGAACGGCTAACATCAAGAACACAAGAAGCCACAAGTGTTGGCAAGGATGTGGGGAAAACAGAATGCTCTCGCACTGTTGATGGGAATGTGAACGTTAAAGCCACAGTGGAAAACAGTATAGAGATTTCCTCAAAAAATTAAAAATAGACCCACCCTAAGATCCCAGTAATCACACTACTGGGTATTTCCCCAAAAACAGAAAAATACTAATTCAAAAGGATACAAGCACCCCTATCTTTATAGCAGCATTATTTACAATAGCCAAGATATGGAAGCAGCCCAAGTGTCCATCAGTAGACGAATGGATGAAGAATATGTGTGTGTGTGGCTGGGGGCATGGGGTGTTTGCTTGTTTATTTATTTATTGGAATACTACTTAGCCATCAAAAAGAATGAAATCTTGCCATTTGCAACAAGAAGAATGAAGCTGGAGAGTGTAACGCTAAGTGGAACACAGAAAGACAAATACCATATGCTCTCATTCATATATGTGGAATTTCAGAAATAAGCTAAAGTGAAAAGAAAGAGACAAACAGACTCTTAACTGGAGGGAGGAAACTGATGGTTACCAGAGTGCAGAAGGGTATGTGTGGCGGGTGGGGGGTGGATCTGGGTGGAATAGGGGATGGGGAATAAAGAGTGCACTTATCATAATAAAAAAAAATAAAGTGAAAATCTTAGTAGCTACATCTATTAGCACTTTAGAATAATACTTAATGTTTTTTCTTATTTGCGTTATAAAGCTTTGGTCTAGTGCCTTTTTGTTTATGTGTAAACCAAGGAAACATGAAAACAAAACAAAATTCAAATATAGAAGGTACTGAGGGGCACCCAGGTGGCTCAGTCATTAAGCATCTGCTTTAGGCTCAGGTCATTGTCCTGGGATCGAGCCCTGCGTCAGCAGGAAGCCTGCTTCTCCCTCTCCCACTCCCCCTGCCTATGTTCCCTCTCTGGCTGTATCTCTATGAAATAAATAAAAATATTAAAAAAAAAATTAAAGTATATAAAGTGCTGAGAAAAACCCCACCTGAGTCTAAACCTTACCTATAGAACATTTTCAATTACTTCATTATTCTAAATTTTTAGAACATATCTGGTATTGGTATCAAAAAATAAATTCTTCTTGATGTCAGACCTTTTTATTTTTAGATTTTATTTATTTGAGAATGAGAGAGAGCAATCAGCGGGAGAAGCAGACTCCCCACTGAGCAGGGAGCCCAATGCAGGACTCGATCCTGGGACTCCAGGATCAGGACCTGAGCTGAAGGCAGTTGCTTAACCAACTGAGTCATGCCGGCGCCCTTG